AGAACGAAACTCATGGATATGTTTGTTTAACTTTTAAAGAATATTTGACTATAATCTTATAAACAATTATGTTTTGTAAGTACCACCACGGGAGTCTCACGCCTTAATGGACTTAAATAATCATTGCCTTTGTTTGGTCACTTTATGACCCTTTGTTGTCATCGATCTATTGACCTCTATTATGTGCGGAACAAAGTACTGTACGGAGCTAAGTGCTATACTATTGTAGGAGCCACCTCTAAAGTTCGTACGAGGCACCTGTTGAGTCCATGCATCTGTTATGTTCTGTTCAGTACCGTGGTTATGGTTATTTATTTACATAATCTCAGTTTTGCTACTTAAATAATTATTTGTTCAAACTAAGTTATTTTAAATATTTTTGTTACATAACTATTCATGATTATTTTGTGTCCCTTATACTCTTGGTATAATATTTCTCACTCTACTATGTGCTTATAGCTGTTTACCAATTTTCAAGAAACAACGCAATTTAGAAATAGTTTTTGGAAAGTTTTAGACGTGAGGCTGCAGAATAGACACACACAACACTTTTATAATATTTTTATATGTAAATGTCGGCCTTTTGGTCAATAAATTTTGTAATAAAAATAGAAGCTCCGATGATTATTTTGGTACCCTCACTTAAATATTACTTCCGCTTGCGTTTATTAATTTGTTCAAGAATTGGCCGAAGATAACTTCAATTACTAACCATCACGATATTTAACCCTTGGGTATAGGGAGTGGGTCGTGACAAATTAGGAGGTTTAGACATATTTTGACAAACTAACTGGTGTACATCCCCCACAAATAGCTTTTGTGCCTAATTTTGTTGTAATTATTAGGGTTGTAAGTATGCTTGTGGACATGCATATATTAATGTATATATTAACTTGTCTATTGTAAAAAAAATGTTATAATATGTTTAGAATGAATGACGGTTATTTTTAATTATAATGGCTTAGATTATTTTATAAATATGATGCGCGATGAATGAATGAATGAAAATGTTGTTTTTTTCATTCAATGATGATTATTTTTTTAAGATAGAATTTTTTATAATGAATATTAGTTTTTATATTAATGTCAAATAATTTATTTTCTTGGGTTTTTTTTTTTTTTTTTTTGTAAGAATGATGGATGAGGGGTGATAAATGAGTGATGGTTATTTTTAAAATCAAAATACTTGTTTAAAATGATTTTGTGGTTTTTTTTTTTTTTTATCATTATCAGGTTGACATTAATATAATATATTAATATATATATATATTTTGTTTGGGAAAATTATTGTATTTATGAATATTTAATTTGTTCAAATAAAAATAATATGAATTTTTAATTTGTTTATTTGCATTAGTTTTTCCGGTGGTGTTATTTTTTCCTACACTGAACTGTGTCCCTTTTGATAGGCATAAGGGCAATATGGGTATTAAAATATATTATAAGGGCAATCTTGGAAATTATTTGTTTATATCCCACAATATATTTTGTAAAACAAACATAGATTATATCAAGTCAACAAACATGAATTGAGGGATATGTTATCTAGTACATGTATCCTCCTCATTATATATCCTGGCTAAATTTCATATCATATTATATCTTCCATTTTATATACAGTAAAACAAACAAGGCCTGAAGGCTTGCACTGAAAGATGATGTTGTTGATGATAGCGAAATAGTGGCACAATTAGATCAGAATGTTCACATATTTGTTACTTTTCGGTTATGTTTTATGGAAGAATGTTTATTTGCTTGTTGTACTTGATAGAATTTTAGTGTATGAAGAAGTCCATTTTATCTATATTGGAGTCCCTTTCTCCTGATATTTGTTTTGGAGAGATTTGTTCTAATTAATATGCTATCTAATTATTTTTCTTATGTGAATGTCAGTTGTTTTTTCATTTTTCTTTTTTTCCAAGAAAGAATACATGTATTGGTTAGGGGAAAAAAATTTTGAAATTGAAATTTGAAAATCTACTTATAATTGGAGAAAATTTTGAGTACAAATGGATAACCACCCAATTGGTGGGAAATTTTCCCTCATGGGGTAAATAATGAAGGGGCCAATGTAGGAAAGAAATTTTTAATTACATATTGCTCTTAGATTAGGGTTGGTTGAAATATGATATCGCCCCATGTGGAATTTTTTGTCAAAATTTGGACAGACATTGATAATTGGGACAAATTAGGTACAATTAGATACTTTAAGAAATAAATTAGCTTAAAAATAAAAATTAAAAAATTCAAGGATCAAAATTTTGAGCTTGCTTGTATTCTTGGTCTTAATGTAGATGTCAACGCAGTTGGTTTGTTTCATTGCATTATCATAAACTGCTTAGTTGCAAGATCTTCCACTCAATCTCCCAACCTAAACACATCCTATATTAAAAAAATATATAATTTAAGAAAATCCGAACAATGCAAATCAGTAAATTCAACACCAACAACCACATCATCAATAGAAAAAAGAATTCATAAATAGTGGTGCAACTCAAGCTGGTCAAGGGATTGCCAATCCTAACTTAAATTGTGTTGAGAGTTACTGAAATCCACTCAAGTCCAACTCTTCATCCGAGCTTGTCTACCCAAGACTAGCCTAAACTCAATAAATTAAACTGTTTGAAATGTCGACGAATTTGAGTCTTAAGTGTTTTTTTGTTTTTGTTTTTTTCATTGCTAGGCTATTTATATTTCTGGAGTTGGACCTTATTAACACTATTTTGACAACATCACAAGTAGTATGAAACATAATAATCTGCATTCCACATAATTTATATACTTGAGTTATTCTAACAGTTGCAATAATTTTAGTCTAATTCAATGACTAATATTTTATGTATATATATATTTAATATATTTATTTATATATGTAATTTGGGATTCATGTTATTCAAGTTGCCCAGTATATCTATTCAAGTTAGGTCTAAATTTAATTCAAACTTGTAAATTGTTGTCTATACTTGTATCGAATTAATATATATATATATATATATATATGTTTGTCAAGCCATAAAAATTAAGAAAAATTAATTGAGATTAGAAAGCAAGTGGAAGATCTTTATCAATCAGTAGGTCTTAGTTATAAGTTGGTTCACCAAATATTAGATTAGAAAATTCTTGACAATTAAGAAGGGTTGAAATCCTCTTCCAAAAACAAGCTCTTGGCCAACTCTTCCTACATAGGATAAGGATATGTACGACAGAAACAACAGTGCAACTTTCAATGGGAGAAAGAGAGATGTACATAAGAGAGAGTTTTGTTAATCTCAATATATTTTAAATTAAGGAAAAATTTCAAATCAATGGTGTCTTCATAAAATATTTATAAATTCATGAAAAAAATTATAATTTTAATTACTAATATTGATAAAGTTTACAATAATTTGAATTACTTTTTAGAAACATGCATTGGATTGTATTTTTTCCCCTCTTTAATTAACAATTAAAATTATTTTAGCCAATTTTGTTATTTTAATTGTGTTAATATCATATTTTAGCACGTAATAGGGGTCAAAATATTATATTTTGAGACATCCACTCTAGTATTGCATATGCTATTTTTAAGCACGATTCAATTGCTACATACAATGTAATTAATGTAATTGGAGTGAGGGGCTACTATAGCTATTTATTGCAGCTTAAATGAGCTTATCATAGCTGATTTTAATTTAAAAATTTATATCAAACGGTTTGATATAATTTTTACTTACATTTTATTAGGACTAAAAAAGCTTACTAAAGAAAAATAAAATAAAATAAAATAAAAATCCCAGTGTTGGCCTTGTATTCAATTCTTTGTAGCTTAAATTTTTGGATTTACATAAAATTTCTTAATTTATAAATTGTGACTTTATTTTGTTTGGTTGAGTTCAAATTTTTTTTTTTTTTTTTTTCTTTAGCGATTTTTTTATTTTTTATTTTAGTCTTTTTTTAGATGCACTTAATTTAGATATATTTAAATAATAAAATATTTAAAAAAAAATTAATAAATACGCAAGAATACAAAAATATAATGAATTTTTATTTTTGTATTTTTGGTATTTAATAAATTTTAAAAAAAAATTCACAAATATTATACTTTTAATTATATTTATATTAAGTGTATCTAAAATATAAAAAAATTATTTAAAATATTTTAAAAAATCACTAAAAAAAAATCTCAATCCTCAAAAAATTGAAACTAAATAAGGCTATACCACGGAAAAATTATTGGTTGATCCAAGGGATCACGTAGATATACTCCTGACCAATCACAAATTATCATATCCCTTACGATATGTTTGGTTAAAAGATTTGGGAAGGGATTTAAAAAGAAAAAGAGAAAAAGTGTATGAAATTAGGTAAAATATAGATATATTATATTCACATTTTACCTATCTTTTTTCAGATTAAGGGTCACTGTTGTGCTCTTTAGCACAACAGTGATTGTTGTACCTCAATTTGAGATGTATTATGAGCTTATTTTTATAATTCAAACCGTTTATTTTGTAGGATTTATTGAGCACTTCGTGCCTACTTAAAATCATATTAATCGAATATCAATAACTATATGATCGATAATCAAAAAAATAAACAATAAACTTTTCTTTTAAGAAATAACATAAAAAATATGCAATTCAATCATATAATTATTAATATCCGATTAATATAATTTTTGATAGACATAAAATACTCAACAAATCGTACAAAATGAACAATTTAAATCACAAAAATAAACTCATAATACATCTTAAATTAAAACACAACAACAGTGACCCTTAATCCTGTTTTTTTTTTTTTTCTCTTTTCAAAACTTTTTCTAAATCGTCCGATTAAACACGGTATTAAATTCTCTGTTCACCCAACATACAGAACACGCACTCCCCTAAGCCGACTAATAATTTCTCCCAACCCCACCACAACATCAGACTCAACCTCCCCCCACCGCCACACTCGCCCCCACTCACACACACACACACTCTCTCTCTCTCTCTCTCTCTCTCTCTCTCTCTCTCTATCCGTCTTCATAAACAAACACATCTCTGTCACATTCTCATTCGCTCAACTTCATCACTACCTACCTATACATTTTTCCACACTGCTTTTTGACAAATCTACACGCTTTCTTTCTCTTTTTAACTTTCCTTAATCCAGTCTCTTTGTTCCTCACTACACCAACTTTCATCTTTTCATAGAACTCGCTCCTCTTTCTCTCTTTTCCACTACTACACATAGATTGGTGTGAGAGATTTTGAACATTACCCACATCATGGAAAACAATAATCAACAGTCGTTCTGGCAATTCAGCGATCAACTTAGGCACCAGACAAACAATTTGGCCAATCTCTCTCTCAACGATTCCATATGGAGCAATTCGTATGTGTCCAAGAGGCCTCAAGAGAGGCGTAACTTTGACGTCAATGTTGGCGGTGAATTCAATTCAGTCAATTCGTCCAACAGTTTGAAGGCAAATGAGTCGGATTTTAATGGGTTCAGCCATGGTTGGAAGATTGGTGGCGGGTCTGATTTTAATGGGTTAGGCTCTTCTTCTAGTTTGGGATCAATTGGGCTTAATGGTGGCTTCAACAAAGGGATTATTTACTCCAAACCTTCTTTGAATTTCAATCACCACAACAACAACAACAACAATAATAATGTTAATGTTGTTGTGAATACTAAAAGCAATAAGAATGGTAGTGGTAAGGGCGAGGATGATTATTATTATCAAAATCACCATGGAAGCAAGAGTGGGAAGAAGAACAAGAACAACAATAACAGCAATAAGGATAGCAACAACAACAGTGACAACAACAATAATAGTAATAAGAACAGTGTGGATAAGAGGTTCAAGACACTTCCGCCATCTGAGTCTCTACCCAGAAATGAAACTGTTGGTGGGTATATCTTTGTCTGCAACAATGAAACCATGGAAGAGAATCTCAAAAGGCAGCTCTTTGGTATGTCTCTCTCTCTCTCTCCTCATTTTTATATAGGTTGAATCTTTTCACTAACTTGATCTACCTAAAGGAGTTATATATACTGTTAGCATGATGATTGATTGATTGATATTTTGGCCTTTGGATGATTTGGGCATACAATACTTTGCTATGGAACAATAAATTGTGGATTGGGCAATTTGGGTCATTGAATCATTGAGTTAACAATTCCAATTTCTTCTTATGTGTATATAGTTTCTGTGGGTATATTCTTGGGGGTATGGATTGGTGATTAGATTGATTATCCAAGTATATCCCCTTTAAGAAAAATTATTAGAAGTCCTAATTTTGAGATGATTATTTATTTTATTTTATTTTTTATTAACACTGAAAATATGAATATTGATATAATTGATTCCAAATTGTCTTTTTACATAATACCTAGGCTATATGTCAATTAATATATATATTTGTATTTCATATAAAACCAATTGTGGAGATATGGATGAAGCTTCCAAAATCAACATATGGACTTCATTTTGATGACTGCCAAAAACAGGCTGCAGTATTGTAGTTTTTTCCTCTTAAGATTTGGGGTGTTAGTGGCATTTCTTCTTGGAACCCCAATATCACCAGCCTTAATAAATTTTTGTGTCTCATTTGTTGATTTATTTCTCTATAACTTAATGAGGGTAGTTTCAATAAGGTATAAATTTCTTAAATGCACTTTATCCCATCCATGTAAGAGAGAGTGGAGAGCTTTTTTCTATTATCTTTTTTTGCTTGTTGTGTGTGGAACCCCAATATCACAGTGCCTCATTAATTTTTGTTTGTCATATGTTGTTAATTTGTGTTTTTCTTTAATGAATTTTACAGGCTTGCCTCCGCGCTACCGTGATTCAGTCAGGGCAATAACCCCAGGGTTGCCCCTTTTCCTCTACAACTACTCCACCCACCAACTTCATGGAATTTTTGAGGTTTGTGTTTCTTTCTTTCCATACTGCCTTTCATTACTTTATTTCAGTTTCTAAACAATTGCAAAACTAAACACGGTTAAAGTCTTTTTTTTTTTTTTTGGTTGGTTCTATTCGAAGTCTAGAAACTTGAATACTGGTTTGTTGTAAAACTGGGACTTCAATTTTGGCTTGGTATCACAACAGATTTGACTATGGCAACTTTGAAAATCAAAATCGTAAAATGAATTTACATTTTTACCTAAATTTGGATGTTTCAAAAGTTCCATGGCTTTGTTAGTATCAAGCATGGTTACTAGGCTTTGCATTTTGATTCATGTTTATCCTTGTTTGGGATAGATTGCTTGGGTTAACTTGTTCATCTTCCAATCGGAGATCTGTGTTTTCTTGAATTTGCTTTGTCAAGTATTTATTGAGTGTTTATTTCAAGATTGTGGAGGACCTTAGTAAATTGAAAATGCTCTCTTCAGGCTGCAAGCTTTGGAGGAACAAACATCGATCCAAAAGCGTGGGAGGACAAAAAGAACCCTGGTGAATCTCGTTTTCCGGCTCAGGTATGTTAAGTTGATTATCATGAGTTGATGTCAAGGATAATAAAGAATCAAAGTTTTCTTGTGTTTATTGTAGTGCAAATGCTGTTTTGCTGAGAATATGCAAACTTGTCAAATGAACTCGCTGCAAAGTGGTTAACTTGATTCATTATTTAAAATTACAATATGGGATTTACAGCTGCTTGTATGGCAGGTACGCGTTGTGACAAGGAAAGTCTGTGAGCCATTAGAGGAGGATTCTTTCAGACCAATTCTTCATCATTATGATGGCCCCAAGTTCCGCCTTGAACTTAACATTCCTGAGGTAATAACAATCATATGAGTTTGAATTTAAATTTCACGAGAAGATCTTTTTGGAAGCGCATCGAGTGCTTTGATACCCTCAATCAAAGGTATTTGATGGTAAACCATGTTATCTTTTCAATCTTGCAGGCACTCTCTCTTTTGGATATATTTGCCGAGAATGATCCTTAAACAACATTCAGATACAAAGAAACAACAATGCTACAGAATTAAAGGCTATACTTGTTTGGCTAAAATAATATATATCGTGGTTGAGCTCGAAGAGTTTGGAAGTTGAAAAATAGCCATGGTCTGTGTACTTGTATGTGATGTGTTACTTTGTTTTTTATGAAGGGCGTGGTGGTTTATATAATGAATAATAGAAAATATAAATGAGGATTTAAAGGAGTTTTATGTTTTGAAACTGGGAAAATGTAGAGAGATAAAAGGAGATTACTAGACATGAGATATAATAAGAATTGTTCTTCAGGAACTCTCAAAACCTTAAAATATATCTTCAGGATGTCTCATTCTAATGTTTCCTCTCATTCAATTAGTATAGGGTTTTTTTTTTTTTTTTTTTTTTTTATGTGATGTATTACTTGGGCTTCAATATATGTGGGAACTGTATAATAATCCTCAGAGACTCCATTTCCATTTGATGAAAAAGCAGATTTTACTGATCGAGTTTTCTTTACACACAAAGAGCTTATTTTGAGAATATGGTAAAAATTGATTTTTTGACTTTTAACTAAGTTTTTGGTTTTTTTAAACAAATGATTTGAGAAGTGGTAAACAGGTATTTTTGGCTTTTTTAATTAATATTTATTTATGATGTTAAATCATAATAAAATGACTAAATTATTTTCATTCAATTTAAAATATTTATAACTTCAATCATTTAGCACATTTTAACTCATGAGGGATAAAATTATAATTTCATCAATGACTGAAAATTAATTTCTCAAATGAAAAAAATATAAAAAAGTTAACCTTTAACTTTTGTTACAAACTCAAAAAAGTAACTAAAAGTTAAGTTTACAAAACACCCCAAAATGGATTTACATATTATATACACAAGAGAACTATATTATCCCAGTCTGGTTTTTGGCCAATCTCGAGACAAGATTAGTTATTTCGTGTAGTGTGAATATAGCTTATCTGATTGGGAGAGAATACCAATCGTCTAATTTGGGTACTAGAAGCATGGGTATTTTGAAAAGGGTATAGTTTCTATTCAGTTTGGGATCGGATCGGATCATGTTGTTGGGCCTATGGAGATTCACCACGGGTCCCATTTTGATAATCTGAACTGTCCAATGTGTAGAACTCATCGAGTACTATATGCCTATAAAAAATCACATTGATCGAATATCGATGGCTATATGATCAAATCAGTTTCGTATTAAAAAAATTGGACGGTGAACAAATTAACGGTTGACAAAAAACTATTTTGATCACATAGCTATTTATATCCGATCAACGTGATTTTTTATGGACATATAGTACTCGACGAGTTGTGCACATTGAACGGTTCAGATTATCAAAACGGGACCCTTGATGGGCCCCAACAGCACAGTCCAGTCCAATCCCGGACTGGACAGAAGCCGTACCCTTTTGAAAAATATACCGTACTCATATCGAGTATTTATCAACATATGATATCTTGTATAGTACTTCTGTATGTGTACTAAGTATACGAAATATGTACCCAAGTTTTTCTTTTTAATTTTTGACATACTCGGATGTACCTAGTATATATCCAAGCCATAACGTACCCTATTGTACCTCAGTTGAAATAATATTTTCTTCTCCTACAGAGATAAAATTCATTTCACTAAACAAAATTTTTTATTTTTTGGTTTATATTTAGTATGATTTTAAAATTAAACTACGGTTTGTAAGTTATTTAATATATTGATAATTTTGATTTATATTTTACTTTTGGCATTAAATGTTAATTATAGGTTGGATCTTAACAAATTAAACCATTTAATTAATTTTTACATTACTCTAAATTAAAAATAAATATTTTTTACAAACGTACCAAGCCGTACCCATACTTTATTTTATTTTTTTTAATTTTACCATATCGACGTACCCGTATCGTATTAGCACTCGCACCTGTACCCGTGCTTCATTCTCTGGGTATTATAAACTAGTCTCATTTTTTATGGCAAACTAAACCGTCCAATTTAAATCTGATCAACTTTATAACATTTTTTTTGTCGATCATTCAGTCGGTCAATTTTTAAAATTATTGATCCCAATTATTGGAAATAGTGGTTCTAGTGAACAAAGACTTCTGAAAAATGACTTGGGGGTGGTTAGGAATTGGATGTAATTTACCCAAAGTCATGCCTACCATTCCTCCAAGGTGATGTGTATTTTTTAAATGACTAGTTTGGCTGTCAAATATGAAAATTAGAATTCTAGAAGTTTCTAAGGTTGACAGAATGATTTTTTGTCAACTTCAATAGGCTGATCATCTACTGGATGGACTCCAAATAAGGGTTCGACCTGTTGTGTTAAATTTCCCCAATCTTTGGTGCACTCCAACAATAGTAATTTTTTATGTAAAAATATATGAGTAATGTTACAATCATCATTTATTTTTACCATCTTCGCTTACTATATAAAAGTAGATGCATTTTATATTATAAAAGTAGATCCATTTGTTTTTTACATATGAAAATGGAATGGGAGATGTTTGGATCACATGGGTTATCAGAATGACACAGTATTTCTATAAAAGAATTTAGTGCAGTCTATTAATTATTTTATTTTATTTATTAAATGGGATCTGTGGACACAAATTTGAATTCTGGTTTGCAGTCTGGGCTACAGCATACACAGCAAGTGAATGAGGGACCAAATTTGAATTATTGGATCTTTACTAGTATTGTTTGTGCTATTCTAATTGGAAGCAAATGCTATCTATCATAAATTTGTCTAGAAAATTATCTCAAATATGATGCGTATAATGTAAATTTAAAATTTGTAAGATGTTTGTGATCCATAACTGTACTTTTCTTTTAGTATTTTTCTAGCTAATTTTCCTACGTATGTAATATTATTGATCAATTCTGAATTATATCAAACACGTTATATCCAAAACTAGTTGATTTAACAATCTTATTCACGTGACCACCTAATAATAAGGGCATGTCACTATTTTAAAAAAAAAAAAGTCTTTCTGCATCTGAAACAGTGGAACATTTGTTGTTTGATTGCTCTTGGTCCAAAGCTGTGTGGTTTGGCAGTTCCCTTAACCTTCGGATAGACCTTGGCTCAATCCCTAATGTGTCTCAATGGACCAGTGATATCATTAGCCAAGCCTCCTCCCTCTCTGATGCCAAGGCCTCCCTCAGCAAAATTGCCACTGTGGGTTGGTTCATCTGGAAAACGAGGAACGAGTTCGTCTTCAATAATATCCCAGTGGATCCTATGGCAACACTCCATCGAATTGCTCACTCATGGACTGAATCGGCAGACCTCTTCAGCACTATCACCCCTCAAGAACATCGGCCTACTTCTATGTCCTCCTCCCCTGTCTCAGGCTGGATACCAGCCAACTTTGGTTCCTTCAAGATAAATTGCGATGCCTCTTTTTGCCAACGGACCTCAAGGGCTGCCATTGCCGCAGTTGTTCGGGATTCCAATGGCCAACTAATTGATGGTAATGCCAGGACTGTTTCGGCCTCTTCAGCCTCCCAAGCTGAGGCTTGCGCTGTCCGCATGGCTTGCCTTATGGTTAAGGCACATAACTTGTCCTTTGTGGAGATTGAGAGTGACAACCAAATGGTCATCAAGCTGTGTGTTTCAGAACAGGTACCTCCCTGGGAGTTGAGTGCCATTATTCTGGATATTCGCCACTTCGCTTCTGTCTATCATCTCTCATTTTCGTGGACTCACAGATCCAACAACCGGGTAGCACATTGGGTGGCCACATCCCAAGCCTCTCAGGTTCTTCCTGTCTCCTGGGCAGGGTTTCCACCAGATAGTCTCTTATCCTTATTATCTACTGATGTATCTCCTGCTTCTGCAGCCTCTGTTGTTGGTTAATAAAATGTTTCGTGCCTTTCAGCTCAAAAAAAAAAAAAAAAAAAGCCCCTAAAATTGTTGGAGAAGTCCTCAATGACTTCCCTGGCTATGGAATTTTTGGGTCAAGCCACGTATCATTGCCATTACTCAACCACGAAAAGCTTCATTTTGAGAAATTTTACTATCTCTTCCCACTCGGAGAAAAGGATGCATTGGCTCAGCACAATGAATCAGTAAAAGAAGCCGAACCAGTAAGGATGTCGACCAGTGCAGCTGCTGTGGAGGTCTTGCCACCACCACAAAAGGGTGTTTGGAGAGTGAAATTAGTGATTGATACGAAACAGTTGGAGGAAATTTTGTCGGAAGAGGTTAATACAGAGGCCTTGATTGAGCAAATGAGATTGGCTGCAAGTTCAGCTAGTGTAACACCCAAGCGAACGAAGATCAATTGGGGTCAATGGGGAGTAAATTTGAAGCCAATTCTCACCAATGTGTTCAAGGGTTCTATTGATCAACAGAGTAGAGTAGCACGGTTACCGGATTTCTCTATCAGCGGTCCAATCCAGGGGAAGGCAGCCAATGAGCTCATTTTGGGAACATGAAATTTCACATTGTTGTACTCTGACTGATACATTCCTCTTGTATCTTAATATATATCAATGTTGATTTTAAATAAGGTTTAACATGAGTGATTTTCATTTCCTAGTATTTGTTCTAGGAGTTTCAGCTCTGAAAATTGTCACCATATGGTTTTTTTTGTTTTTTTTAGGTTCCATCCATCTCTTATGAATTAGCTAGCTTTTAACTCATAGCTGATATGGACTTTCTACACCGTTTGAGTGAAATTTTATATTGAAAGAGTTTCAAATAGAAAAATGATGTTAGAAACAAAATGAATTTTATTGATTTTTTTTTTCATCAAATGTCATGTGTATATATAGAAGGGAATTTTTTTTTTACGATTTCTGGTATTAAGATTTTATAGTATAAAGGACACTCAATATTTTCATAATGTCTAAGGCAACATCGATCTAGAGAAAATTCGACCCAGAGAATTTCTCTGGACTTTCCAGAGGTTTTCTCTCCAGAGAAATTCCCAGAGATTTTCTATGCACTTCCCAGAGAATTTCTTTGGACTTGCCATAAATTTTCTCTCTAGAGAAACTCTAGACTTCCCAGAAAATTTCTATGTTTTTGACTAATTTTCTCTAGTTTGCTCATAATTTTCTTCGTGGTTTTTATCAAACCAAACTGTAAGCCATTTAGGCAACAACAAACTAGAGAAAATTAAACAATCACCATTTTGACTAATTTTCTCTGAGTACCAAAAAAATTCAGAGAAAATTGTGTAGAACAAATTTGTGTGGCTTTGTGTGGCTCTATCTAGAGAAAATTGTGTAGAAAAAATTTGTGTGACTTTGTGTAGCTTTATCCAAAGAAAATTGTATAGAAAAAATTTATGTGGCTTTGTCTAGCTTTATCCCGAGAAAATTATGTTAGAGAAAATTTGTGTGGCTTTATATGGCTCTATCTAGAGAATATTATGTAGAGAAAATTTGAGTTTTCGATCAAACTAGAGAAAATTGAACAAAGAACAGTAACATAACAAATGTAGAATATTCAACGAATAAAAAAAACAGTAGGAATGGTCTTACCATAGCATTGCCCCATCCAAGCCGAAGGTTCTTTGACTTTTCTTGATTCGCGAAGCTTCCTCTTGATTCAGATTTTGTTCTCTTGAATCAAAATGAAAATCATGCTGGAGAGGTCGTAAGCCCTATTCGCAGTTGTTCAAAGTTGCTCGTAGTTGTTCGCAGAGCCCGAGAACACTAACCTAGATCGATCTCGCAGCAATTGGGTTGTCATTGAATCGAGTTTTGTTTGTGGATTCCCTTGTCAATCGACCTTCGTAACTTGCCTTAACCATAGATATGAGTTCGCAATTTGATTGTGATCTGGATTCAACTTTGCAGATTGAATTTCGACGGCGATGAAATTGACTCTGACGACGATGGTATTTGCGGTGGTGATGGTGGTAGTGGCCATTGAAGGGAGTGAAGTGAGGTTTGGATTTAGAGAGAGAGAGAGAGAGAAATGATGTTTGATGTGAGAGAGTCAAATTTTTTTGTGATATATGGGTGTGAGGTTGAAGGACCTTAGATATTATAAAATAATATTGTGAATCTCTTCTATTATTAAAAATGAATGAGAGATCTTAAACTAATTTTTCTTATATTTTACTTACAACTTATAAGATTTTTTTTTTAAATAACTAAAAAAACTAATTATTTGATAGTTAAGAGACAATTAACTAGGTGGGTGGTGTGGGTGGTGGTGGTAGTGGGTGGTAGCTGGTGGGTGGTGGTGGCGGAAGACAGTGGTAGAAAATGGTGGCGGGTGGTGGCTAGTGTTGGGTGGTAAAAAAAAAAAACTGAAAATTCAAAACGTAAACTCATTTTGTGAGTTTACATTTTTTGGCCAAATTTATAAACTGAGACCATTGATTTATAAATCAAAAATTTATCAAACAAATTTTTATTTGAGTTTTTAAAATTTTTGTAAATATAAATAAAAAACAGAAAACGTAAATTTTACCAAACGGTATCTAAGTGATGAAAAATTTATAAAAAAAATAGGATTCAATTTGAAAATGTTTCTTGAAAATAAATGACTTCTGAGAAAAACTCGTCACTCTAATAAAAATCAGAAGTGATTAAGACTACTAAAAACACAAGCCTTAGGCTTATTTTGGAAAGATGGTAAAAAGTAGTTTTTTAGCTTTTAATTAAGTTTTTGATTTTTTTAGATAAATGATTTGGGAAGTTGGTAAAAAGTGACTTTTGACTTTTTTGATTAATGTTTGTTTATGATGTTAAATCATAATAAAATGACTAAATTATTTTCATTCAATTTAAAATATTTATAACTTCAATCATTTAGCACATTTTAACTCATGAGGGATAAAATTGTAATTTCATCAGTGACTGAAAATCAATTTCTCAAATGAAAAAAATATAAAAAAGTCAACCTTTAACTTTTGTTACAAACTCAAAAAAGTAGCTAAAAGTCAAGTTTACAAAACACCCCAAAATGGATTTACATATTATATACACAAGAGAACTATATTATCCCAGTCTGGTTTTTTGCCAATCTCGAGACAAGATTAGTTATTTCGTGTAGTGTGAATATAGCTTATCTGATTGGGAGAGAATACCAATCGTCTAATTTGGGTACTAGAAGCATGGGTATTTTGAAAAGGGTATAGTTTCTATTCAGTTTGGGATCGGATCGGATCATGTTGTTGGGCCTATGGAGATTCACCACGGGTCCCATTTTGATAATCTGAACTGTCCAATGTGTAGAACTCATCGAGTACTATATGCCTATAAAAAATCACATTGATCGAATATCGATGGCTATATGATCAAATCAGTTTCGTATTAAAAAAATTGGACGGTGAACAAATTAACGGTTGACAAAAAACTATTTTGATCACATAGCTATCGATATCCGATCAACGTGATTTTTTACGGACATATAGTACTCAACGAGTTCTGCACATTCAACGGTTCAGATTATCAAAACGGGACCCTTGATGGGCCCCCATAGGCCCAACAGCACAGTCCAGTCCAATCCCGGACTGGACAGAAGCCATACCCTTTTGAAAAATATACCGTACTCATATCGAGTATTTATCAACATATGATATCTTGTATGGTACTTCTGTATGTGTACTAAGTATACGAAATATGTACCCAAGTTTTTCTTCTTAATTTTTGGCATACTCGGATGTACCTAGTATATATCCAAGCCATAACGTACCCTATTGTACCTCAGTTGAAATAATATTTTCTTCTCCTACAGAGATAAAATTCATTTCACTAAACAAAATTTTTTATTTTTTGGTTTATACTTAGTATGATTTTAAAATTAAACTACGGTTTGTAAGTTATTTAATATATTGATATTTAATTTTGATTTATATCTTCACTTTTGGCATTAAATGTTAATTATAGGTTGGATCTTAACAAATTAAACCATTTAATTAATTTTTACATAACTCTAAATTAAAAATAAATATTTTTTACAAACGTACCAAGCCGTACCCATACTTTATTTTTATTTTTTAATTTTACCATATCGGCGTACCCGTATCGTACTAGCACTCGCACCTGTACCCGTGCTTCATTCTTTGGGTATTATAAACTAGTCTCATTTTTTATGGCAAACTAAACCGTCCAATTTAAATCTGATCAACTTTATAACATTTTTTTTTGTCGATCATTCAGTCGGTCAATTTTTAAAATTATTGATCCCAATTATTGGAAATAGTGGTTCTAGTGAACAAAGACTTCTGAAATATGACTTGGGGGTGGTTAGGAATTGGATGTAATTTACCCAAAGTCATGCCTACCATTCCTCCAAGGTGATGTGTATTTTTTAAATGACTAGTTTGGCTGTCAAATATGAAAATTAGAATTCTAGAAGTTTCTAAGGTTGACAGAATGATTTTTTGTCAACTTCAATAGGCAGATCATCTACTGGATGGACTCCAAATAAGGGTTCGACCTGTTGTGTTAAATTTCCCCAATCTTTGGTGCACTCCAACAATAGTAATTTTTTATGTAAAAATATATGAGTAATGTTACAATCATCATTTATTTTTACCATCTTCGCTTACTATATAAAAGTAGATGCATTTTATATTATAAAAGTAGATCCATTTGTTTTTTACATATGAAAATGGAATGGGAGATGTTTGGATCACATGGTTATCAGAATGACACAGTATTTCTATAAAAGAATTTAGTGCAGTCTATTAATTATTTTATTTTATTTATTAAATGGGATCTGTGGACACAAATTTGAATTCTGGTTTGCAGTCTGGGCTACAGCATACACAGCAAGTGAATGAGGGACCAAATTTGAATTATTGGATCTTTACTTGTATTGTTGTGCTATTCTAATTGGAAGCAAATGCTATCTATCATAAATTTGTCTAGAAAATTATCTCAAATATGATGTGTATAATGTAAATTTAAAATTTGTAAGATGTTTGTGATCCATAACTGTACTTTTTTTTTAGTATTTTTCTAGCTAATTTTCCTAGGTATGTAATATTATTGATCAATTCTAACTTATATCAAACACATTATATCCAAAACTAGTTGATTTAACAACCTTATTCACGTGCCCACCTAATAATAAGGGCATGTCACTATTTAAAAAGAAAAAAGAAAAAAAAGTAGGAATAATATGAACACCTGAACGCATATTATTAGATAGGCATACCGTCACATTAATATTTTCAATCCACCTAATAATTTCTTCCTCGACGTATAGTCTAATGATTTTAATCTTATTATCTTCTCAAAACATGATGTTGATTGTGTGTTCCCGCCCTATTACAAGGATTAAGTGCTTACGTGATTTGAAAAATAAGAATAATGATTCATAAATCACAAAGAGATTGTTTCACTCTGTTAGGCCCGTAGGGGCCCACCATGGGTCTAGTTTTTATAATTCGGACCGTTAAATGTGTAGGACTCGTTGAGTACTATATGTCTGTAAAAAATCATGTTGATCGGATACTGATAGTTATTTTATCGGATCAGATTTTTGTCAACCGTTTATTTTTTCACCGTTCATTTTTTTTATACAAAATTGATTTGATCACATAACTATCGATATCCAATCAACATGATTGTATAAATATATACAGTACTCGACGAATTCTACACATTGAACGATTCAGATTATTAAAATAGGACTCGTGGTAGGCTCCACGGGCCCAACAGCACCCTCTAGAGGGAAGCCAAACCCAATCACAAAATACCATTTGTAAGACAGATAACCACATGATATTCGGGACCCTAATTGATAACTTGTGCTAATTTAACCAAGGGCAGAAGATGTGATGATGGGAACTTCTGTCTAAATCAACACCACATCTCTGCTTGGTTTCTTGCTTAATTTTTGCAAATTAAATAAAAAATCAGTGAAGACCGACCGTTTGATAAATAAAATTTTCAATTTTATTTGATGCTTATACACTGAAACTTCTGGGAAACATGCATAGTTTTATTTTTTATAATTATTCAAACAGTTTAAGACCATATAACATGGTATTGGAATCCAACAAATGCATACCCCCTAGCACAGTTTACGTTGCATTGGGCCGCGGCTGAGATGTCGTTATGCTGCATTAATTTAATTTATCGCTCTCTTATCTATCGTTTATTCTATTCCCCCTCTGCCTAGGATCGCATCAAATCCTCCTTAACGGTCTCATTTCACTAATACACATTGATTCAAATTTTCAAATCCAACACACAAACAAATTTTCATATATATATAGAAGAGAAACAATTCAAGTTTTATAGAAATTATTGCAATGGGAAATTGTACACTAAAAGGTGTTGCTGCAGCTGAAGCTGCAGCTCCCAACTCTTCTATCCGGATTATGACAGATTCTGGTGAAATCATAGAGTTCAAAGCCCCTAAAATTGTTGGAGAAGTCCTCAATGACTTCCCCGGCTATGGAATTTTTGGGTCAAGCCACGTATCATCGCCATTACTCAACCACGAAAAGCTTCATTTTGAGAAATTTTACTATCTCTTCCCACTCGGAGAAAAGGATACATTGGCTCAGCACAATGAATCAGTAAAAGAAGCCGAACCAGTAAGGATGTCGACCAGTGCAGCTGCTGTGGAGGTCTTGCCACCACCACAAAAGGGTGTTTGGAGAGTGAAATTAGTGATTGATACGAAACAGTTGGAGGAAATTTTGTCGGAAGAGGTTAATACAGAGGCCTTGATTGAGCAAATGAGATTGGCTGCAAGTTCAGCTAGTGTAACACCCAAGCGAACGAAGATCAATTGGGGTCAATGGGGAGTAAATTTGAAGCCAATTCTCAACAATGTGTTCAAGGGTTCTATTGATCAACAGAGTAGAGTAGCACGGTTACCGGATTTCTCTATCAGCGGTCCAATCCAGGGGAAGGCAACCAATGAGCGCATTTTGGGAACATGAAATTTCACATTTTTGTACTCTGACTGATACATTCCTCTTGTATCTTAATATATATCAATGTTGATTTTAAATAAGGTTTAACATGAGTGATTTTCATTTCCTAGTATTTGTTCTAGGAGTTTCAGCTCTGAAAATTGTCACCATGTGGTTTTTTTTGTTTTTTTTAGGTTCCATCCATGTCTTATGAATTAGCTAGCTTTTAACTCATGGCTGATATGGACTTTCTACACCGTTTTGAGTGAAATTTTATATTCAAAGAGTTTCAAATAGAAAAATGATGTTAGAAACAAAACGAATTTTATTGATTTTTTTTTTTCTTCAAATGTCGTGTGTATATATAGAAGGGAATTTTTTTTTTTAAGGTTCCTGTATTAAGATTTTATAGTATAAAGGACACTCAATATTTTTATAATGTCTAAGGCAACATCGATCCAGAGAAATTCTCTTCAGAGGGAATTTCTCTAGACCTCCCAGAGATTTTCTATGCACTTCCCAGAGAATTTCTCTGGACCTGCCATAAAATTTCTCTCTAGAGAAATTCTCTTCAATTTCTCTGGACTTTCTAGAGAATTTCTCTGTGTTTTTGACCAATTTTCTCTAGTTTGCTCATAATTTTCTTCGTGGTTTTATCAAACCAAACTGTAAACCATTTAGGCAACAACAAACCAAAGAAAATTGAACAATACCATTTTGACTAATTTTCTTTGAGCACCAAAGAAATCTAGAGAAAATTGTGAAGAGCAAATTTGTGTGACTTTGTGTGACTCTATCTAGAGAAAATTGTGTAGAGAAAATTTGTGTGACTTTGTGTGGCTCTATCCAGAGAAAATTATGTAAAGAAAATTTATGTGGCTTTGCATGGCTTTATCTAGAGAAAATTGTGTTAGAGAAAATTTGGGTAGTTTTGTGTGATTCTATCTAGAGAAAATTGTGTAGAAAAAATTTGTGTGGTTTTGTATGGCTCTATCTAAAGAATATTATGCAGAGAAAATTTAAGTTTTCGATCAAACTATAGAAAATTGAACAAAGAATAGTAACATAACAAATGTAGAATGTTCAACGAATAAAAAAAACAGTAGGAATGGTCTTACCATAGCATTGCCCCATCGAAGCCGAAGGTTCTTTGACTTTTCTTGATTTGCGAAGCTTCCTTTTGATTTAGATTTTGTTCTCTTGAATCAAAATGAAAATCAGGCTGGAAAGGTCGCAAGCCCTGTTCGCAGTTGTTCAAAGTTGCTCGTAGTTGTTCGCAAAGCCTGAGAACACTAACCTAGGTCAACCTCGCAACAATTGGGTTGTCATCGAATCGAGTTTTGTTTGTGGATTCCCTTGTCAATCGACCTTTGTAACTTGCCTTAACCCTAGATATGAGTTCGCAATTTGATTGTGATCTGGATTCAACTTTGCAGATTGAATTTCGACGGCGATGAAATCGACTCTGACGACGATGGTATTTGCGGTGGTGATGCTAGCAGTGGCCATTGAAGGGAGTAAAGTGAGGTTTAGATTTAGAGAGAGAGAGAGAGATGAAATAGAAAAGGTAGAGAGAGAGAGAGAAATAATGTTTGATATGAGAGAGTCAAATTTTTCTGTGACATATGGATGTGAGGTTGAGAGAACTTAGATATCATAAAATAATACTTTGAATCTTTTCCATTACTAAAAATGAATGAGAGACCTTAGACTAATTTTTTCTATATAAATTCAAGATCCAACCTATAACATGGGTTCAAGTCTGAGGGCGAACCAAAAAATTTGTCTTGGTGCCAAGTCGGCATTCCTCCACCCTTTCCTAACAACCCAGAATGCTGGGTTTTTGTGCACATACTAGGCCGGCCCAAAACTTAGGATGCCTTAAACAAAATTTTAAAAGTAATATTTTATATTTAACTATTAATATAAATAAATTTATTAATTATTTAGATTTTAATTTTTTTATTTAAAATTCATTTTCCTTGCTCTATTATTATAATAAAGCCCACTTCTTCTTAATAGCAAGTTTTATTCCAAATCTACCATTCTAATTAAAAATATAAATAAAAAATTGTATAAACAATTTTAAATTACTTAAAAATTATATTTCTAATTGTAAAAATTAAAAAATTACATCAAACATCATAAACAATTATTTAATCAAAAGAACTATAGCATAAGATTCATTATTTTTCGTTATCTTGTATTATGAAAAGTGTATGTGGTAAACAATTCAAAAGGCTTAATTTTATTAATATTCCATTAAAAAAAATTGTGGAAAATAATACCATATTTAATTCATATATTTTTCAAAGGATGAGATAACAAAAAATAATGAATTTTATGGCTACACTTTTATTTAAAAGAATTTGCATATTTCTTAAAATTTTAAAAAGATTTTTAAATAATTTTTAAAAAAATTATTATTTATGTTTTAATGAATGGATTAACTTGGAATAAGAATATCAAAAATGAACTTTATGGGAACAAATTATCAAAAATAGGATCTAATTATCCATATTAAAATTTAATAGACTCACTTTGCAATCTTAAATACAAAGTAGAATCTATTAGTAGGATGGCCATGGGCCCAATAGCCCACCTAACCTGTTGAGCCTGATTTTTTTACGGTTTGAAAAAAATATTTAACGTATTGGGTCGAGCTTGATAGCAATTTTGAGCCCATTTAATTTGTAAACTGGGCTTAGGACAAATATTTTAACCCAATCGGCTCGGCCATTTACAAAATCGACAATGCTACGTAGCTCAAATTTTGTGGCTCAAAAGTGACTCAAATGGCCAAAACGACGTCGTTTTGAGTACAGAATAACATAAAAATGGTCAAAACGACGTCGTTTTGGCCATTTGAGCCACTTTTGAGCCACAAAATTTGAGCTACGAGACATTTTCCTTACAAAACGACTTTCAATTTTAACTTTTCTATTATTTAGTTAATAAAGTAGAAAAATAATAAAAGATCAAAGAAAAGTTTCTTGTGCTTAAATCAAAACATTTGTTAAACGGTCATATTTAATTTACAATTGACTTTTATTAATGTTCCAAATCCAAAGAATTGTCAAAATTGTCTAAATAAATTAATGTCCCTTAAAAATATTAAAATAAAAATAAGAAAATGTTCATATCTATTGAGTTAAATGGAGAAGACTTTTCTTTAGAGCCAATCTTAAGATGACTAGATTAAACTCGATATCAAACCGTATTAAGTTTAAAATAATGTAGGTAAATCTATTTGCACCTAAATAATAACTCAGTATGGTCAACTAAAATTTTAAAATTTTAATTCTTTGTAAACCCTAATGTAAATTTACTAATAAGGACAATATACGTTTAATCCTAAAATAATTTTTTTTTCTTATGGTACACTCAAATTACGTATACATATTTTTCATATTCAACTCTTTTCATCTTCTTTTTTAAGTTTTAATTATTTTTTCTCTATCTTTTTCTTCCCTCCAAAACTCTAATCTATCCCACCAATGGTTTAGAATGATTCTACGAGATCCTTTAGAATGGTTTCTAACCCAAAAGCCATGGTCACAATTTCAAAATCCCTTTTGATCTGTTTGCTGCCCATCACTGTCTTCTTCTACAACTCTCTTGTTTCTTGCCTTTACCAATAATGCATAAATAAGTATATATATACACCATATAGATATATTCAACTAAGAGATAAAAAAGACTAAAGATTTTGTCTCAAAATATACCAGAAATGTGGAGATTTGATGTGTCTTTTAGAATTTAATAATTTTGATTACACTTATATGATTAAAAATTTAGTTTTATGGTTTTTAAAAATTTCAATTAGTTCCTGAATACTGTTGTATAATTGTTAAATAAAATGAATAGTTGTAATGAGAAATTTGTTTTAAAAATTGTAAAAGAGTTTTTTAAAGTGGTGTAATTTGATATTTTTTATTTGTTTATTATTTGGGAATACATTGAAGAGTAATTTAGGAAAAAAAACATAGACTATATTGAGATGAGGGTAAATTATAATTCTAAATAATTTAGTAAAATGTGTTGAGAAATTAGATATATTTAATAATTTTTATGGTGCAAATAGAGTCCCCAAATAAAACATGCCCTTACTAAACCCAGTCCAAGCCTAATCTATACCTAGCCGGACTCAATATTAGTCCACCCCTACTTATTAATAATTTTTTCTATTATTTATTTATTGGTGAAATATTACACATATTAGGAAGTTTGTATGTTAGTTTTAAACTAGAGGTGCAAATTCATTCCAAACTTAAACTCACTTAACTATATCCATTTAAAACTTGAGTAATGCTAGAGACCCCAAATATTCTACCAAAAGTTTTACCAAATGTCTCACATGGGTGTGGGACCCACACAATGTGGGTCCCATGTGGGTCCCACACCCATGTGAGACATTTGGTAAAATTTTTGGTAGAATTTTTGGCACCTCTAGCATTTTTGTTAAAACTTACATAAATAAATTCAAATTAATAAATGAGCTTAAATGGGTTGCTCATGGTCAACCCAATTAAAATTAAGTTTACATGAGTCAGATATGGGTATTCATTTAAACCCATTTAAATAGGCACCACTTCTACTACCAATTCATCACCACCACCATAGTCGCCACTCCACTACCACTACCTCCTTCACCACCACTATTCGCTGCTATCATCACTACCGCCGATACACCACCACCCTATCTACCACTGCCACTCTATCACTACCACTACCGCTCCTTTACCACTACCATTGACAACACACTACAACCTCCTCTACCACCATCACCACTGCTGATACACCACCAATACCACCTCATTCTCCACTAACGCCACTCCACCACCATTACCATCACATTTTCCACAACCACCACCTCCACTACCACTCCACCGCCACCTCCTCCACTGCTACCACACCTCATCCTTCTCCACCACCACCACCTCCTCCATCGCCACCACACCACATCCTTCTTCACTGCTGCTACTCCACCACCACCACCACCACTTCCTCCACCATTGCCACTCCACCACCTCTGCCACCATCGCCACGCCACCACCACTACCACCACCACTACTTTGTCACCACCACCTCTGCCACCATCATCGTCATTATAAAATAAAAAATTAATAAATTAATAAATTATTTTTTTTAAAAAAAAAAAGATAAAGTAAATGAATTGGATGAGTTCATTTGTTCAACCCATATCCAATTCAACCTAACCCATTATTTTTTTTTTAAAAAAAAAAAAGATAAAGTAAATGAATTGGATGAGTTCATTTGTTCAACCCATATCCAATTCAACCTAACCCATTTATTTATTAGATGAGCGGGGTTTGGATTAAGTTGCTTTAAATGCATAACCTGTTTTGACTCGCCCATTTGCCATCTCTAGTTTTAAGTAACAGTATAAGAGTAATGACAAAGAGGATGCACTCATAACATGTGTTGCTCAGGTCTTTTTTCGTAAATTTATGATCTTGCTTTCAAATTTTATACTTCACTTAATATAATTTTGTAGATTATTTACACGAACACTCCCTAAACTATTGAAAGTTTTACTTTGACTCCCTAAACTATAAAAGCGTATAAATTAACCTCCTAAACTATTGAAAAGTATCACTAGCCCCATAGACTATAAAAGCGTATAAATGAACCCTTCAAACTATTGATAAGTATCACTTTGTCCCATAGACTAGAAAAGTATATAAATGGACTCTCTCTAAACTATTGTCGCGTTTTATTTTAACCTCTTCTGTTAAGAGGATCCAATTCGTACAATTTTATAATTTGGGAGGTCTATATATACACTATAAAACCCCTTTCGTTAAGGGGTTCAATTTGTACAAATTTATAACTTAGGAGGAGTCTATTTGTACGTTTTTATAATTAATGGAACAAAAGGGCAAAATGATACTTTTTAATAATTTAGGGAGTGATACATCTCAATAGTTTAAGGAGTTAATTTTAAGATTTTATAATTTAAAGAGTCAAAGTAATACTTTAGTTAAAGGGGCGTATGTGTAAATTAGGGATGCTCAAGAATCGGTTTTTGACGGTTCAGTTTGCAGTTGGGACTTACCCACATGTTTGCGATTTGAAAAAAATTGAACCTGCAACCGTCTGCAGTACAGATTGCGGTTTGTACGAATATGATTCACGGATGTGTAGACGATTTGCGAATTGAATTTTTCCTTTAAAATTTTATTTTTGGGCTTGTTTTTCTCTATTTTTTAAATATTCTTTGTGGTACTTTTTCTCTCATTTTTTGAAATATTATTTTAGACCTTAAAATCACATATTTCTTATCGTAAAATCATTATTTTTTAAATGATTTATTCCAAATAAATTATTGTCTATCTACCCAATTTACTTTCAAAAAAAACAGACCATAAGTGCAGGTCAGGATCAATCAATTAACTCACATTCACTTTGCTAAAAAATATATAAGCTAAACAATGCATATATATGCAGGTGGGTGAGTGCGAATGCAAATAAAACTTGTAACTCGCCGCGAATGCAAATAAAACTTGCAACTCATCTACAACCCGTAAAATAGAAAAATCCTAACCTACATCCGATCTTAACATATATGCGCTCAAAGAAGTGTGGACGGTTCAAATTAGGTAAATTTTATAGGACAGATAATCCTATACCAACCCTAGTGTAAATAATCCCACCACCTCAACACTTAGCATATATAAAGCAAAGAGCAATTGTATCTTCCGAAGAAGTGTTCTACCAGAACGAGGAATTGTGGTCGTTTCCGATTTCTTTGGCTAAAACATATACAAATCAGTACTTATATCTGAAATTTCTGTCTCTGTTTTTGCTAATTTTAGGGTTCTTTAGGCTGAGTTCTGTTTGACACTCACCATGGATGATAGGTGGCACCTCTAGCATTTTTGTTAATTTATGGGTTTTCACTTGTTCTTAGTTTATATATATATATATATAAATTTATTTATTTTAAATATGGTTTCTTGTTAAAATTTCGATTTCTCTTTCGTTTTTTAAGATTACGAAACACTACTTGTCCACATCTTGTATTTGATCACTATTGATTGCTCCTCAATAATTTTTTGATCATGCCATAAACAAACTAAATTTGAGGGATTTGTTTGACTAAAAGATTTTTTTTTTTTTTTTTTTTTTTTTTTTTTGGTTGGGTTATACAAATTGCAAACCATATTATATGTCATAGGCTTATTCATTTGTGTGTTATATGAATGATCATACTATCTAGATGTGTTTATTGTCCTATGATGAGTCGGTATTGAAAGTTTTTTCAATCTTTTTTTTCCTCCACCCTAGAACAGAATTTATTCAGAAAAACTGAGTCTAGAGGCAAAACTATTTAGCATTCCAATCCTCTTATGATTTTTCATTCTCTGTTTCGGTTCAAATCACGTTACAGAAGCTTGAAGATGGTTTGTGGAGCTTTCTATATACCTAAGGACGATCCTTCAAACCCTCAAGGGGACGATGCCCATTTTATTTGCTTAGAAAAACAGACAATCGGCATCGCGGATGGTGTTGGAGGGTGGAGTAAGTATGGAGTGGATGCTGGACAATATGCTCGCCAACTCATGGCTAACTCTGTCGACGCAATCCAAAATGCACAAGAGGGTTATCTTCATCCTAGTAGAATTTTGTCTCAAGCTTACTCAAAAACCAATGTTCAAGGATCATCCACAGCTTGCATACTTGCTCTAAAAAACAATGCAAGTGCTCTTTTTCTTTTTTTCTCCAATGTTTTGTGTCTGATTCTGTGACTGTTTTCTATGTTCTAGCATTAATCTTTTCTTGTTACAGCGTTTGCGTGTTGCTAACATTGGAGATAGCGGATTTATGTTGATTAGAAAGGGAGAGAACGTATACCAATCAAGCATTCAACAACACAGTTTCAATTGCCCATACCAGCTTGGAAATCGTAAATCAGCAGATCGCCCAACTGCAGCACAGACTTACAAGATTCCGGTAAAATCAGGGGACGTAATCATTTTGGGTACCGATGGATTGTTTGATAACATGTTTGAATATGACATCCAACAAGTTGCCAAAATGACCATTGGCCATGATTCCGAACCAGAGCAGGTTGCTTGGGCAATAGCTCAACATGCTTATTACAACTCGGTCGATAGACATGTAGCAACTCCATTCACTCAGGCTTCTTTGAAGGCCGGAAAAAAACATCTTGGTGGCAAAGTAGATGATATAACCGTCATTGTTGCTTACGTTGTTGAAAAAATAGATTGATGTTCTTGGAGCTGTTAAGTGTTCATGTCATTGATTGATTTAGCTGTGAAGAGTTCAGTGCGTGTGTTGAACAATTTTTTTTAAGAAATCTATTTTGTTAGCAAGCAGTTAATTGAAGAATATTGAATACTCTACTTCCCTGCACTGCACCAAAACACTCATAACTGCTAAATCTTGTGAGAAATTTGAGATACAATAATCTCAAGACATTATCCAACATATCTAAGAAACTTGGTACAGAAAATCCCGTGCCAACTTGTACCAATTCAAAGATGTATGGTTTTATTCTCAGGGAAAAAAAATAAAATAAAATAACAAACAGATGTATGGTTTAGGGCTTGCTTGATCAAAATTTCAAGAACACAAATTGAGTATCAATCATCTACGAAAACAGAAAATTTATTGGGCATATACAATAGCCACCAAATAGTTCCAAGAAAATTCAGGCGAACTATTGCTGTGTCCATATCAGCTATTAATGGGGCTATCTGCTCTAACATAAAGCACTGATCAACAACTACTTGGTACTTCCCAAGTTCTAGAGAGAATTATACAAAACACACACAAAAAAATAAAATAAAATAAAATGGATAAAGAAAAAGACACAGCTATTGGCATAATCACAACCATGAACAATTTCAATCCTCAAAAGATAACATAACATTCATATGGTTTCCAAGTCTTAGATATCAAGAAAAGTTTCAATGCAACCATGATTCCATCTTTCGAATAGCGTTCTCTATTGCAGGTACATTCTTCTTGAAGATTTACCACTGCTTAGTTGTCAAGCTTATTTCTATGGAAACAACATAGAGGCAAACATATTAGCATAAACCACTAACAACAACATATTGAATAAGGAATTTAACCACACACACACACACACAATTTTTGGAGTATGAATTGGTATTGTGAAGGGTTATAAAAGTCACCCTATCAGACTACATTGGTCCCATTAAAGTAATATAAACAGTATCCCTCTCCTTATTTGAGAGAGATATATACTATGAATACAATAAAAGCAATGTACTGATTAGTTTTATTCAGTTGACGCAATAATACAAGCACACACTAGGTGCAGCTGATGACTTGATGGGGACTGTTACTACCGTCTCATTTTTCTCTAATTTCATGTGTTGAAGAACGTCTAGTCCTTATTTCCATCCTTTAATTTTTGCTTGATAATAATAACAATAAAATATGGGGGTTACGATAAAAAACAAAACCAAATAAGCTGGTAACTCCGAAGACGAACCAGACAACAGCTGGAGAACAGCTGTTTTACATAAACTCAAGGAGGTTTTGTAAAACTACTTACATCTAAAACATCCAAGGGTTTTGCACAAGTTGAAAGCATCAGAAGATAAGTTTCTCAGAAAAAATAAAAAGGAAAAAAGAAGGCCAAGTAATACTAGAAAATCAGTTGGGAAGAAACAATCCTTAAACTTTTCACACAAATGCAATATGAGAAAGCATAGGACACTTGACCAAGCCAAAAGACAGAAAACAAAGAAGACAAACCAGATTACTAGGTCGCAAAATCATAGAAGCATGAACATGCAACAACTTAAGGTCCAGCAATTTCAGCAAAACTAAATTTTACAACTTACAACTTAAATGCACATTCAATTACCAGAACATAATCCCAAGATAATGTTGGCAACAGTTTTAATATCCTGGAGCTATTCTTTGAGGAAACGTTAATCAAATTGAAACCAAGAATTGGTCTTTAAAGTTCAAACCATTTTAGTAAAACCTAGCACACTTAAGGAAGCACATGTCCAAATGACTTAATAACAGAAAATCCAAGTACAAGCACACTGAGAGTTAAAATGTAGCACGTCATGTTCTGTGGCACCAAATGCCAAAATTCTATTTTCTATTTCATCTCAAAAAGGGAAAGAGAAAGATGAGGAGGACAGAGAGAGAAAAGAATAGGATTTAAAATTCCATTCTCCAATGTCAATTTTGAAATGAATCTTCAAAGTGATCTTGTCCATCCATCTCCATTTTTTAAGGGAAATTAGTGAAAATCCCATGGCATTAACTTGTTCCCATAACTTCTTTGTTAATCTGTAAAGTCCCATTTTACAAATTGTTACAAATTGTTTGGAAGCTTAAATAGGTCCCATTTTAAAAATTTTGGAAGTTGGAATCACTTTCTTTGTTTGTTAGGTATATCAAATTCATGACGGTACAATTGGAAACCCAGAAAAAATAACAAAAAAAGAAAAAGTTGTTAAAGCTTGGACTATTTACATCATCACATGACGACCAACAAGGGACGCACTGGATACCCTTTTTGTTTGACATAACTCTTCATATGAATATTCATACAAAAGGGATGAACGCATTATCAGACAAAGTACGTTACAATAAGAATAGAACAGTGGCCGAAATTGAACAAAGTATCATCGGACAATTTCTTCTCTTTAATACTGGATACCCCTTTTGAATCACATGACAGTAGGTGTCTCATAGTCATAGTTATGGTGATAGCATCTAAAACACTGACCATTTTTTATGGCATCATCCTGGCATCATGAATATACATACATGTATATATATCATTGACCCAACAAATAAGAGGTATAGTTTTGGAACATGGTTATCAGAATCCCGATCCGGATCTTACGATCCTACGATCTTACAATCTATTTGAGTACAATCGATCTGGATCGTGTAAAAAACTCCTTATAGGTAGGATCTTTCGATCCTGGTAGTGGGATCTTATAGGATCGTGGAATCCCGATTCGAATCCGATCATATCCGATCCAATTTACAAGCCTTATTTTGTATTGTATGACATATTTTATTGTAAATGTTATGTTTGTTGTCCAAATACCAATTTATGTGGTCAAAATAAATAATAAAAATTAAGTCGTATTGAATCAAATAGACTAAGAAAAGCAAACTAAGAAACAAACATTCAAATATTGCGATAATTTAAGAAAATTAAATAGTCGGAAAAACAAACTTAGCTTTAGCGGAGTCTAAGGAGGGTAAGATGATTGCAACTTTATCCCAATTTTTGGAGAGATTATTTTTGTGACTTGAATCTGCTCCACCAGGGATGCTAACGACAAATCTTATCATTCGGTTAAGCTACTCTTTTGAGTTCTTAATCTATTTTCATATCCAACTTTATTAAATATTTTTTCTTCACTTTTTATGCATTATTGTAGATTGTGAAGTGTTTTGTTATAGAATTCTTCTTCTTCTTCTTCTTCTTCTTCTTCTTCTTCTTCTTTTTTGATGAAATACAAAACTTTTACCATCAAATTTTCAATTGTATAATATTATATGTACATTTTATATGGAGTATTATATTTTTCACAATATCTTCATTTCTTTTTAATAAAATATAGGCTTATTTTGTGTATTTTATAAGAAATATTTATTTAAATTAAATTATTATGTAATTTGTCTTTTTCGGTAGGATCTTACGATCCTCAATCCGATTCTACGATCCGATCCGATAAACACCTCCAACGATCCAACGTAGGATCCCGATTTTAACAACCTTGTTTTGGAAGAGTATGCACACACACACACACGTACACATACACATAGATATACTGGTCTTGACAATGATGGAATCGTCCAGGATAGTCTCCAGACATTGTTGACTATGGAGGTGAAAATTTTTTGAAGGAAAGAGATTCATTAGGGTTCTGGACTATCTGAAATTAGTCAATATATTGATGGGTATTATGGTCTTCTAGATGTGTGTAGCATTTCACAGATTATAAGAATATAAATGTGATTTAATAATAGGGGTACTTACGTGTAGGTCCTAATAAGTGGACTTATTGTCTAATAGGTCCTATGGAAAAAATTTGTCATATAAAAACGTCACTAATTGTAAGTTTTAGCGACAATTTATAAAAATCATGACAAAAAAAGTCACTAATTGTCAAGTTTTCAGCGACGTATGTAAAAAATTGTCACGAAAAAATTATTTTTAGCGACAATATTACCAAGACTTATTTTCAATAGGACTTGATGGGAATTAAGTCTAAATATTAGGACCTTTTAGTAGTTTACCCTTAATTAGTATATATGTCTTATTCCCTCTGTTTTTTTGATGCCATGCCAAATGGACACTAAATGTTTACTTACAAGAATATTACTCTTTAGAATTCAAAATACACACACACATATTATTTATTATATTCATGGCAATTCTCTGTCTATTGATTATTTGATGAAATTGCAAATTGATCCTTAACTTATCCCTGTCTTCTATATCACAAATCCGCTAGTTATTCACAAATAAATTACAAAAGCTTAGTCAAGTTGTTGATTCTCATCAAGTATAATTCCCGATATAAAAGAGGATCCTTAAATATCCATTAAAGAAAGTAAGAAAAGAAATAAAACACTTCAACGGAACATCACAGATTGGGGGACTTCACAAAGAACAGCTTGAAATCCTATTATTGACATATTCCAGCACCTTGCCAATCCAATTAAAGCAAAAATCCAGCATATTATTCCTAATTGTTCAACCAATTAGTTATAGCAAGTTTCATAACAAGCAAAAACAATGTATAACAATTGGAGGGTATATTTGATACACCTTACTAAAAGAAGAAGTTTTAGCAAATAAGGGAACAACTTGGGAAATTTGTGTTCCTGTTCCTCTTGAAATTGATCAGGTCAAGCTCACCTCCAACATGTGTGTTTGACCTTCATTCCACATCTCTCTCTCTTTCTAAAGTGAATGGAAGTAAGGAAGTGAATGATTTTCTAGAATAAAACATTCCAGATTACTAAACAAACCGATCTCAAATTTTAAAGTTTATTTTTATTCAACAAATTAGCAATTTTCTGAAATTCATTTCGCATTAATGCACAACTAATTGAGTAGTTGAAGTTACAAATTCTAACCTTTTGCAGTAGGAAGGTCTTTGCCGTCTTTTCTAAAGTATTCCCTCATTGACACCAAAGTCTTCCCTCTGAAATCCTGAATTGTCACCTTTCTTTTCTGAGATAGCTACAACAACAAAAAACAAATAAATATCAAAACTAGTAAATCAATTAAAAGCCACAGTCTCTCTCCCATCTTAAAAGATAAAAATAAGACAAAACAAAATGAAAAGAAACACTTACACACAATTTGGTAAACATAGAAAGAGAAAGCCCAAGAAAAGAAAACAAATTAAAACTCCTACAAACCAATTGATCAATTCTCCAAAAAAATAAGTTCCACACAACTTAAGGGCATCTCCAATCCTTACTCTTTACCCATATATCAAATTTAAATTTGAGTTAAAAAAAATGCTCAATTTTCACTCCACTCCTTTACTCAAAGTCATACCAAAATGAGTTTTACTCAAATTTTGACCCAATTCAAAGGAGACCCTTTCTTCTAACTCAAATTTCTAAAGATAGTTTGCGGTGATATAATAGCTTTTAAGTTTACAATTGTGAAATTTGAGTGTGCCATTGGAGTACTCTATATCAAAAATGATATTTTCACTCAAACAAATCAAAGACACTGTCAGGATCATTGATGAATAAATAATTACACATATATACATACACACACACACTTAGATTTATATGCAAAACTTGTGGATTAGGGTTTACTTTCAGTTCAAACCACATCAAATTCTCTCTCACAGCAAAACAAACAAGTACTTAATTAAAACCCAAAAAAAAAGGGGGGTTTTAAGCTGACTAACCCTACAAATGATGAGATCGCCATCGTCATCGTACTCTTTAGCACCGCCTCTCTTCCTCTTGCGCTGATCATCATCATCATCACCTTCTTCTTCTTCTTCTTCTGCAGGTTCTTCGTTTTCGGGTTGTTCTGGTTCGGGCTTGGACTGTTGTTCGATGAGATAGGACTCAACGATTTGCCTGACGAAACGCTTGCGGTCCGAGGCAGAGAGGTCGAGACCGAGCTTCTCGGAGGCCATTTCGCGGACCTTGTACTCGGTGGTCTCGTCCATGTTGGAGCTCTTCAGGATTTCCAACACCGTCTCTTCGATTCTGTGTTGAATTTCGGGTTCCATGATTTTCTCTCTGTCTCAGAAAAGCTAGGAGATTCAACTGGCTATTGTGATGAAATGTATAGAGTTAGAGAACTAATAAATATCAAATTAAAACTAGGAATCAGAATTTTCCCCCAAAAAGTTAGAGAACTAATAAATATATCAAATTAAATTAAATTACCCACATTCATATGAATAATTGTTGGAATCCCTAATTTTAGATGTAACTTTTGTACAATGTGACTCATAGTTGAAATAGGTTTTCTTTTTCTTTTCTTTTTTTTGTTATTTATATTAGGTGAGTGTTATGCTATGGAATATAATTTGAGAATAAAACTAAGGACTATTTCAAGAAGATAGTTAAAAGTCATTTTTTAATTTTTAATTTATTTTGAGTCACATTATTTTTTACATATTTTATATGTTTTTTTAAAAAAATTAAAAATATAATTTTAACTATTTCTCATTCTAAATTTAAATTATAAATGACAAATTAACAAATTTGTTATCTGTAATTCATTGAAACCTGATGGTAACGAAAGTGGAAAGTGATGGTTGGGAGACACTACACATGAGGGTGCAAATGAACTGTGTTGTTCATGAATAAACTCGGCTCGGCTCAACTTGTTTAATAAACGAACCGAATTCGAGCTCGAATATTAGGCTTCGAGTCGAGCTCGATCGAGCTCGAGCTCGCACAAGCTCGGCTCGTTTATCTATATTTAAATTATATAATAAATATATTATTTATATATTAAATAATATATAAATATATAAATAATAGTATAAATACATTATTTATATATTAAATAATATAAATAATATTTTTTATTAAATAATATAAATAATATTTAAAAAAAATTTATCGAGCCGAGCCGAGCTCGAGCCTAATTTCTTATCGAGCCAAGCTCGAGCTCAATAAACGAGCTCGATAAGTAAACAAGCTGAGTTCGAGCTCAACAAAGTTCAACTCGGCTCAGTTCGTTTGCAGCCTTAACTACACGAGTAAGGGCTGCTAGATAGTGGTCACATGGTACAGGAGGGTTGCTGAGGGTGGTCATAGAGTAGGAGAGGGCAAGGGAGTTAGGGACAAGGGTGGGTTTGAGAGTTATAGGGGTGAGCAGCAGATATATCGATCTGTCAAAATAGACCGAACCGAACCGATCCGTCGCATTTTGGACGAATGCGTGATGACGAGCGGACGGTTGCGGATTAATTTTCTCCAATCTGCTAATTTGGCGGACGGATGGCGGATTTGAGATTTCTTTGGCTGCAACCGAACTGTCAAACCGCGAGCACCTTTAGTAATTTATAAGACTTTGTATTTTCAATTTGTTTAAATATTTTGTTTGTGTTTTCAATTAAAAAAGAGTTCAAATATTCTGTTGAAAAAAAGTTTTCAACTTGAATATATTTTTTGAATTGAAAAAAATAAACGTATTATTTATCTATATTTTTTAGTTTTTAAATCTAACTCTAAAAGTAATAAATAGAAAATATGATATATGCTGGTTGGTTTTTGTTTTCAAAAACATATATAATGTAACAATACAGAGACATACAATCTCTACTATTGCTCTGTTCATGATTTTGGTGGTTTGAATTGTTTTTATATTTTAAGAATCACAGATTGTAATACTTTATGTGAATGAGACATGCTGTGATTGTAATATGTAGATGAGGCATGCAGTGATTGTGATAATCTAAAGTTTCAAACTTTCTTTCTTTGGATGAGACATGCAGTAATTGTAATACTTTTTTAAGTCATTGACTGTAATTTTTTTTTTTTTTTTAAGGAAGTGCGCAAGTTGAACTATGTTGAAAATTTATAAAATTTCAAACCGCCAAACCGATTCTCATCCATTCGCCAATCCGCTCAATCCGCATTTGCTGGATTGGCGGACGGATGCAAATTGATTTTCTCCAATCCGCCAATCTGACGGATGGATGGCGGATTGGAGGTTCCGTGGCCGCAACCAACCCGCACCCACCCCTAGAGAGTTAGGACTTGAAATGCTTGGGGTGTAAAAAGAAAATTAGAAATTAAAAACATGGGTGGGGCTACATGGTGCTGAGTAGTATCAGTTGACACCACTGTATTTTTAAAATTTTGTATACTAGATGTAAAATTTTATCCAAAAAATGAATTTTTGCAAATTGACCCATTGAGCTTTAGGAATAAGAAACTAAAAGTTTAAAATTTTACAAATTCAACCTAGTGAAATTAAACAATAAAATCAAACTTTATATATAGAATTTTCAATCTTCTAAATCTATTTTAAAATTACATTGTTGATATGTGCTCAAACAATTGGGGCATTTGACTATGGGTTCGTTGGAAAGTGGGTTAGTTTATTGGTTTTTTGGATTTTTTTTTTTTTCTATTTTAGCCTGGGGCTAAAAAGTCTTATTTAAGATGAACTTTTTAGTTTTTTTGATTTTTGTAAGAAAAAAATGTAATAATTATAAGTTGAATATGATATTTCATCTTATTAGATTAAAAAATCTATTTTATTTTTTTGTGACTATTTTTGTCAAAATATCTCAAACCTCAACTTTCCAAACGAGCACTATATAAGGTTGTGGGTTTAACTCCCATATAGAGTTTGATACTTGTGGTGTTGTTTTTTCCACACTATAAAAGTGTGAATATTTGTTTATTTTAGTTAAATAAATAATATTAATAAACTTCAACAACACCGATAAAACCTTTGGTGACTAATATAGAATCCGGATCCTCGGTCGCCTTTGCTGGTGGCCTTTTCTCGTAGCGCCCCAAAACGACATCGTTTTGGGGCAACTTTTCAAGAAAAAAAAAAAAAAGAAAGAAAGAAAATGGAAAAAAGAAGAACAGAGGGAAGAACCCATTAATGGCGTCGAACACGGGAGGAAAATTTTTGATTGAAATTTTAAGGGCGATGAACACAGGAGGAAAATGGATTTGATTGGGTTTGAAATTTTTGATTGAAATTTTGGGTAGGTAGATATTATCTTACATACAGATCCAAGAAAAAAACCCAAAAAATTAGATCATACTCTGTGTTCACTTTTAAACCCAAGAAGAAGATGATGGAAAGGAACAAGAAGAAGATGGAAAAAAACCCAGAACATGAACATAGAGAGAGAAAGAGAGAGAGAGAGAGAGAGAGAGAGAGAGATTGATTGTGGTACATTAAAAACATGGGTGGGGCTACATGGTGCTGAGTAGTATCAGTTGACACCACTGTATTTTTAAAATTTTGTATACTAGATGTAAAATTTTATCCAAAAAATGAATTTTTGCAAATTGACCCATTGAGCTTTAGGAATAAGAAACTAAAAGTTTAAAATTTTACAAATTCAACCTAGTGAAATTAAACAATAAAATCAAACTTTATATAGTATTTTCAATCTTCTAAATCTATTTTAAAATTACATTGTTGATATGTGCTCAAACAATTAGGGCATTTAACTATGGGTTCGTTGGAAAGTGGGTTAGTTTTTTTATTTTTTGGATTTTTTTTTTCTATTTTAGCCCGGGATTAAAAAGTCTTATTTAAGATAAATTTTTCAATTTTTTTGACTTTTGTAAGAAAAAAATGTAATGATTATAAGTTGAATATGATATTTTATCTTATTAGATTAAAAAATTTATTTTATTTTTTTATAACTATTTTTGTCAAAAAATCTCAAACCTCAACTTTTCAAACGAACACTATGCATGTGTTTGGCAAGGGCTTTTTCAGGCTTTTTTGGCTATTTTAGCCACAAAAAACAAAATAGGCTATTTTAGCCATAACAAACAAAACATCACATCCAACCTATAATCATTACATTCTTCTCTCACAAAAAAAGTCAAAAAAGCCAAAAAATCCTTCCCAAACCAAGCTTTTTAGCCCAGGCTAAAATAGCCAAAAAAGTCAAAAAGTTAAAAAGCCAACCCACTTCCCAAACGGAGGCTATATAAGGTTGTAGGTCCAACTCTCATAGAGAGTTTGATACTTGTGTTGTTTTTTCCACACTATAAAAGTGTGAATATTTGTTTATTTTAGTTAAATAAATAATATTAATAAACTCCAACAACACCGATAAAACCTTTGGTTATATAAGGTTGTGGGTTTAACATGTTTGGTTTCGCTTTCCTAAACTTGTTTTTTTTGAAAATTTAGAGTTTTTGTTTAATTAAGTCCAAAAATCAATACTTGGAAAAAGAGATGTGATTTGATGTGATTTGTTTGTTTGTTTTTTTTTTTATTTTGCTTTGTGATATGACATGTTCTCTTTTGTTTTGCTTTGTTTCTTTTTTCTTTTTTTTTTAAGTGTTACTAATTATTTTTTTTTTTTTTTTTTTTTTTTTTGTGGAGTGTTACTAAATGGTTCCGCATTTGAATTTTACATTGACACAATATTCAATAGGAAGGGATTTTAAATTTAAAAATAAAGCAAAATTTAAAAATATTTTTGTATTTGATGTTATAAAAGTTCGTAAGTTGGTTACTTAGGGTTGTTTTGGGAAGTTGGTTAAAAGTGATTTTTTGGCTTTTAACCAAGCTTTTGGCTTTTTTAGACAAATGATTTGGGAAGTTGGTAAAAAGTGACTTTTGACTTTTTTTATTAATATTTGTTTATGATGTCAAATCATAATAAAATTACTAAACTACCCCCATTTATTTAAAATATTTACAACTGTGACCCATGAGGGGTAAAATTGTAATTGCACCGTTGGCTAAAAACCAACTTGCCAAATGAAAAAAAAGCCAAAAAAGCCAACTTTTAGCTTTTGCTACTAACCAAAAAAAGTGACTTTTAGCCAAGTTCCCAAAATAGCCCATAGTTCTTTTAAGCTAATTTGTAATTAAATTATGTATTTTGTGATTGATATCATAAAATTTTATGATAAAATTACAAATTTAATGATAGGGTATGCACCCATAAAAAGGTATATATCAAATTATTTTTTGATACATATATAGTATGTACATATATATACATAAAACAAATATAATAGTACTTTTGACGTAATAATAATTTATTTTTTTTCAATTTATTGTTGAATACATTATTTAGATTGCCCACTCTATCTATGTGTGGAGGAAAATTTGAATTTCTTTGTAATAGTCAAATTTTTAGAAACCAAACACATATCCATTTTCAACGCATAGTTTTCAAATCAATTTTTTGAAAAATAACTCAAAAACCTAAAACAGCACATAGTGAACCTTTTCTCTTTTATTTTTTTGAAAAATTGAAAAAATTGAATTTTTTTGTACAAAACTAAAAATTTGCATTTATCAAGGAGTATGATAATGGAAAATTGATGTACAAAACTAAAAAAATGAAAACAAACTTTAAAAATGAAAAATCTGATAATATTTTTAGTTTTAAAACTGGAAAAAATTGATAATGTTCTTAGTTTTATTGGATAATTGAATCAAATCAATAAATAGAAGAGCAAAAACGTTTAATCTCATGTCCTGTTTTTTTCATCAGTTAGTGAAACAATTATCTGAAACATTACTATGCAAAATTAATAATGATTTTAGTTTTAAAAATTTGAAAAAATTGATAATATTTAGATAATTAATTATAAATTTTTACGTACAAATTCAGTGTTTGTACATTTATCTAAAATAAATAAATAAACTTTTTTCCCCTAAAAAATTATCTATTGTAGCTCAAATTCTCGATATAAGAATTATTTATCAACAAAAAAAAGCAAAAGTATCAGAAAGAGGTTCCAGAATAAAAACAAACACGAACAAGAGGTTCCACCGAGACTTGAACTCGGGTTACTGGATTCAGAGTCCAATGTCCTAACCACTAGACCATGGAACCACAACTCGTTTTGTTGCAAAGCTATAATGGTTTTTTATTTTTATATATTAAAATCTAATTTGGTTATACTCTCCAATTGAGAGAGGAGAAAGACTTTTCTTTTTCTCTTTTTCTTTTTTTTTTATTTGAACAGAAGGAGAAAGACTTCAATACACACACTTATGTACCTGTTATTTTTTTTTTAGTAATATTAGAAAATTTTACCCATAAATCTCATATGAGATAATGTTGATCTATTTAATTTTTAAAAAAAAAAATTATGAACCAATTAGTCATTTTTATTATAGAAATTTTATTTATTTGATTTAGTGTCATTTGAACTTAAGTGAATGTCCTTTTGTGATTAATTTTTCTAATTTTCTGAGTCATTTGTGGGATGGAAATGAAAATGTGAGGTGTGGAAGATCCTTTTTGGGGCGATTGGTGGTTAAAGTGTTAATTGTCGAGCGTATAAATCTACATTTCTGTTAATGTGGTTTTCTAATGTTAAATTGGAGTGTTCCATTAGAATACTATGTTTGAAAAAAATACACTAAGAAATTTTTGTGTGTTACATTGATTGGAATGTTACGTTTGAAAAAATACACCGAGGAGTTTTTTAGTGTATTATATTGAAGTGTTACGTTTGGAAAAAGTACATTAAAGAGTTTTTGTATGTTACATTGATTGAAATATTACGTTTGAAAAAAATACACTAAAGAGTTTATTTGAAATGTTATATTGTTACGTTTGAAAAAATATACTAAAGAGTTTTTTTAGAATATTATATTGTTACGTTTAAGAAAAATACACTAAGGAGTTTTTTTATAATGTTATGTTGTTGCGTTTAAGAAAAATATACTAAGGAGTTTTTTAGTATGTTACATTGAAGTGTTACGTATAGGAAAAGTATACTAAAGAGCTTTTGTGTATTACATTAATTGGAGTGTTACTTTTAGAAAAAAATATACTAAAGAATTTTTTTGAAAAGTTACATTGTTTCGTTTGAGAAAAGCACATTAAAGAGTTTTTTAGGGTGTGGCATTAGAGTGTTATGTTTGGGAAAAGCACACTAAAGAATTTCTGTATGTTATATTGATTGAAGTGTTACGTTTGGGAAAAATACATTAAGGAAATTTTTTTTAATGTTATGTTATTATGTTTAAAAAAAGTATACTAAGGAGTTTTTTGGTGTGTTATATTCGAGTGCTACATTTATAGAGTGTTACATTGGAGTGTTATATTTGAAAAAAATATATTAAATTTGTTTTTAATTAAGTGTTACATTTAGTGCTTTCAACATTATGAGAACATTCATATTTATCTCTCAACACATAATACACGAGTGTTTATGTTTAGCCCTTTATGTAATTCACACAAGAATGAAACCTTTGAGTCTATAAGAAGAAATGGAGGATCAAACAGTTCATAAGATCACTATTTAAGATTTATTGGTACTTCATCCTAAATATTACATATAACATTTTTCATAAAATACATCGTATGTATTACACAAAAATACGTAACATAATACATAATACACACTCTATAAGTGTGTTTGGATCATGGATTTAGAAGGAGAAAAAAAAAAAATTAAATGTATTTATATTCCATACACATTTCATTGACATTTTTTATTTTTTTAAAATTTCTATCCAAATCTATAATCCAATCACAGAGAAAACCTATAACAAATGTGTAATGAAGAGTTCACCATAATTCTCTCAACCTTCCAATTAAAAATATAGTGGCTAACTAATATAGATTACTTGGTTTTTAACAAGTTGCCATTGTTTTGACTCGGACGTTTGAGATTTTACTACTTTCTCCATACTCTATGATTTACTTGCCATTCAAACCAAAAGACTAGAAGACAACAAAATGAGATTATGAACAATCTTCAATAGATCAGAAATGGTATTCCATATTAATAGTTAACAATAAGGAATTTATTTGATCTCCACAATCTAAAAATCCAACTACACATTGTGGGTGTTTGGGAAGTGAATTTTTTTGTGAGTTTTTTTAGTTGTAAGATATTATTGGAGAAAAAAAAATTTGTGTTTGGGAAGACAGGTAGGTTTTTTTTTGTAGTTGGATGTGAAGTTTGTAAAAGAAAAAGTGAAATAATTATGGGATTTGATGTGATATTTTGTTTGGATTTGTTTTATTTTTTTATTTTATAACCAATTTGTCTTTTAGTGAAAAAAAACCACAAAAAACCACAAAAAAGTCTTCCCAAACACTGCCATATGTTTGCCAGTTTCAGAATGGTACAATTGAGTACAACAAAAAAAATTTAAATAAAAAACTAAAGAAACCTAACCATAAACCTAAAGTCTGTATGTTCTCCAAATTTTTTTAATACAAAAGCCAAATTAAGAGGGGAGGAAAGCTAATAAAGCATCTGATGATTCTCAAGAGCTACATTTATGAGAACTAGCTACATAGTAATGTAATGAATATAGTCATACTACTACTAATAAGCATCAAAATCCAACCTCTACTTCCTTGACCTACCTTACTAGATTGTGAGGCTCCAAAAATTATCAACACTTTCTCTGAAACTAACTTGAATATTGCAAGAACTGCAAAGCAAAAGCTCACTGCTACCACAACTATCTCTTTCTTTTCCAGACTTGCTTGATCAGTCATAACCTTCTCAACATCTAATCTGCATAATCATTAAAAGAGAAGAAGAAAAAAAAAATACATAGATAGAAATCATATCAGATATGGTAAGTACTCGAAAAAAAGAAAAAAGAAAAAAAAAAAGAGCAAATCTGTTGACCTTAGCATGCCATTTTCTCTAATCAATGCATCAATCTGAGATGAGACGACATCTTTCCACGACCCAAGATCAGTAACTCCTTTCTCCTGGTGAAAAAAGACATGAATGTGAAAGAGTTTAAGTGGGGTTCTTTTTTTATTTTTTATTTTTACATAACTCCTATTTTCTTTAAAACAAATTTAGTGATTAGTAGTGTACCATGATCTCCTTCCATTCTAAGAGATTCTTGATATCTGTTTTACTTTCCTCTAAAAGCATTGAATATCTTGATAACTCTTTGTCAAGCTCGGGTAGTAGATCCCCCTGTCTTCGGTTTTGTTCTTTGATGTACTCCTCTAGCACCGATAAGTTTATCTCAAGTGACCTCACCTTTTGCAACAAGATCTTTAGAATCGCGTTCCCATGTTTTCTTCCATTAGGTTGTTGTCTAGCTTCCATTACAGGATCGGGTATGTTGCTAATCGTCCCTTGATTCTTCACTACATCTACGTTAGGCCTTTGCCCTTCATTGATCCCTATTGTCCCCTTATTTGTAGCCTCAGTCACATTTTGAACTTCACCTTCTATTTTTTGGTCACTAGGACTCGGTTCTGGTACTAAAGATGGCGTTGTAGTGGAATTAGGACTGGAAATCTTATTAGCTGCAGATTCCTCAGAAGCCACTATGAGATCTTCTAACATCCTCTCGATTGCATCTACGCCATATACCTCCACAACACTTAGCGTGCAATAAAATTCCGAACCATAGTGACTAAACAAACTCAACTTTAAGTACCTAGCCCATTTGGGTTCAGGAAGCTTAAAGCTTTGAGCATGCTTGACATTTGCAGCAACAAATTTCCCTAATAATGACCATGTCTCGGTTGGATAAACAAAACTCCCAGACAACTCGAATTCCTTGAAGTTAGAAGAATAATGTTCAAAATTTGCAATTTTCACCGTGTTGATTAGGGTTTCCTCTGCCAACTCAATGACAACAAATTTTGCCCCAACAGAACAAGGGTTCCTCAAATATTTGTCATGATCTTTCCCCAATATGTTGCTAGCGCCTTTTGCTTCCTTATTATGAGCCACCACCTTTGCACCCTTGGCTGCCGAGGCATAGTTGTATTCTGTTCCATCAGGCTCAAGCCGGTGCGTGATATTAACAAGAAGTTGACTTGTTGCACTCCCACCTTTCTCTTGCCTTGTAATGTTTCGAAACTCGTCTAGATTAAGATAAGTCGAATGAGTTTTCCCAATATTTAGATGTTCTACTTTCGTTTGCTTTTGTTGCTGTTGTTCTTGAGGTGATTGTATTCCACACACAATCACAGCAGGGTAACCTAAAACACTCCAAACTGCTTCCTCCAATTCACTTGTTCCTTGAAGCGAGTACTCGTGATTTACATAGTGATAATCATATACATCAGAATCCTTACTAGTTACAGATACATCAAACTCTAACAAAACCCCATTTATATTGTAACTGTTGTTTCCATCTTCGACATGTGAAAATGCAGATTCGTACAACTCATCGTGATCATCATGAACACTGGAGTTAGTCATGCTTCTATTATCAGCAAGCAAATTCCCTGCATAAGATAAATCTAAATCAACACAACATAACGTAAAGAAATTATCCCAATTATTAAGCTGCTAATTCAATTGATTGATCACAAACATAACTCCATATGCGCATGCACACATAAAGATACAAGATTTCTTTCTCATTTAAAAAATATTTTACATCAATCCACTTAACAAGAAATAAAGGCACTAATAAACACAAAAACTTAGAAACATTAAATACACAAGTATGGTAGTAGAATTTCAAGAAAGTGTATGGGAAGTATACAATTGTGGATTAAAATGGCACTTGTAATCATGCTATATTATCCTTGAACTTAAATGCGAGTTTGAAAATCACAATTATGGATAAATATCAAATAACAAAAAAATAAAATAAAAAGGAATCAAAATTTACAAATAAGGACGTGTATTAAAAGTTACAACATCATCAAATCTAAGAAATGAAAAGGGCTTGCTAAGAACTTGAAAATAAAAAAAATGGAAATGGAAATGGACAAAAAAAAGAATGAATGGATGAGAAAAAGTACCTCCATTGCCATGGGTAAGGCCGAGTTTAGAGTAGAACAAGAACAAAAGACACCAAAATGAAAAAATCAGAGGCAGTGAGACTTCGAAAAAGCCTTTCTTCTTGTTGTTAACGACATTGCTTTGACATTTGATATTTATGGAGTCAACTTTTCGAGGTTTCTTCATCTCTCATCATCAATAAATGTAGAGGATGACTTTCCTAGGAAATAAATCCCAATGAAAGACCTGTGTTTGTTTGTTGCTCTTGTTTGGCGAGAGAATTGCCTTTATTCATTCCCAAATTGTTGAGCTTTATGGTTTTTTTTTTTTTTTGTTTGTTTGGTGGAAAATTATTAGTCACCAGTCCCTAACCTCATCTATCTAGCGAAAACTGCTCTTACCATATATATTGATCCCACGTGTCATTAAATCTAATACCTGGATTAACGGTTGCTTGTAAGTTCGGCCCATACGACGTGTGTGTGCCCTTTTAAGGTATAATAATAACAAGAGAGGAAAAGAAAATGAAAGAAAAATAGTACAAAGACTATATGTTCATTTTGTCCCTTTTTTAGAAATAAAATGGTCATGTATCTCTTGTAATAGAATTACTTGGTTCATTGGTATTAAAAAAAATGATCTGGAAAGAAAAGAAAAGAAAAATAGTTGTGTTTTTTGCTTCAATATTGTGAGAATATGTAAACACACTAAATACGTAAATACCCTTTCTTTTTTGTTCGTGAATATCACACTAAATGATATATCCTTAATAATTAAAATACATTAATACTAGATTAACACTTTCAGCTTATCACATTTTGTTTACTATCTTATGTGACGCATTCATACTTGTTGAATGTAACATATCTCATTTAAATGTCATTAATATTTAATAAATGTGAGTGTGCCATGTTAAATGGAAAGCACAAGAGAAAAATGCATTATATAACATAATATATATTTAGAAACAATTTGCGTTCATTTAGGGGAAAAAATTTTATTGGTTTGGATAGCTTCATTAGAATCTACAACTACAAAGGCTTAATGATAATAGTATTAAGTCCATTCAAATTGAATAGTAGGTTGATCCTACTTGACTTACAAACTTATGAAGCTTTAAAATAAGTTCTCTTTCTCAGCCAAAAAAAAAAAAGAAGAAAGTTCAAACATGACTTATTTAGTGTGAGTTATCTCAAATGAGATTTAATAGAGTCAACTTCAAGTTGCTTAATTTTTTATAATGTACATAAACTAATTGAGTTAAGCAAAATAAAAAAAATCAACGAATTTTGAAATATATCTAAATTTAACTTGTTTTCATAATGAATCGGTCTCAAACAAATTTTTAATGAGCTCGAACAACTTCTGCTTTACATCCTTACACTAGGAACCAAAACAAATTTTTAACGAGTTTGAACAACTTCTGTTTTACATCCTTACACTGGGAACCAAAAGACCCGTACTCTCGCTGGGTTTGGATAGCTTCATTAGAATCTACAACTACAAAGGCTTAATGATAATAGTATTAAGTCCATTCAAATTGAATAGTAGGTTGATCCTACTTGACTTACAAACTTATGAAGCTTTAAAATAAGTTCTCTTTCTCAGCAAAAAAAAAAAAAAAGAAGAAAGTTCAAACATGACTTATTTAGTGTGAGTTATCTCAAATGAGATTTAATAGAGTCAACTTCAAGTTGCTTAATTTTTTATAATGTACATAAACTAATTGAGTTAAGCAAAATAAAAAAAATCAACGAATTTCGAAATATATCTAAATTTAACTTGTTTTCATAATGAATCGGTCTCAAACAAATTTTTAATGAGCTCGAACAACTTCTGCTCTACATCCTTACACTGGGAACCAAAACAAATTTTTAACGAGTTTGAACAACTTCTGTTTTACATCCTTACACTGGGAACCAAAAGACCCGCTGAATAGTTGAGCGTGCAAGTTGCCAACAAATAATTCTTTTTGCACGAGTAAGAAACCGATGTATTTTTTCATAGCTAGCCCTCATTCCATATGAGTTCTTTCAAATTTCTTGTTAAGAAATCAACAAGCTCAAGAGTATGTCTTCTCTTTTTAGCTAAAATCATTATTGGTACTTCTTTCTTAATGGAATGAAGTTCCAAAAAAAACAACTCAAGCGAAGCAAGGGACAGTGTCACACACTTTCTGCAACGACATCTTAATATGCTACTTTACAATTTACAAGGCATGGCATTTGCTAGAGTCTAGTTCCTCACTTTTTGAATCGGCCATTCATGTACATCTTTGCTTACTCTGACATCTAGAAAATATCGAGACTAGAATAAGGTAAACAAGATGGATAAAGCTCCAAAGAGTTGCAAAAGAGATGTTAGTTTGCCCAAAGCTTATTTTTTCTCCGTCTGCTGGGCAGTCTCAACATACTGCTCTGCAAGTTTCTTTACTTTCTCACCTTCCTTGACTAGGAAATTTGCATTTTTTTCTTTGGAATGGTATTTCATAACTTTATCTGTTGTTTTCCCCACAGACCATCTGTATTGTTCGACAGTGATCACTCCACTCTTGCACAGTGGCCTGACGTGCTCTTTGATGTAAGCTTCCACCTGTAAAAGTTTTAGGATAACCGATAAGAAAAATGAAGTTTGCAAGCCCCAAAAAACGAGAAAAATTACATGTATTAACAATGAAACAAAGTCATTTAGTACCTTTTTAGATACAGAATTAAAGCTATTGGAATGCTTGTTTGTGTCAGTATTTGATTGCTTCTCCTTAACCGGTATTTTTTTGCTTGTTTGAGAACAACCTGATCCATTATCTTCTCCACCAGAAGAGTGGAGACCAACCTGTAAATTCTCAGCACAACTCTCACTCCCCAATTCAGATGTCTTCAAATTTTTGCTTGACCCAAAACATTCAACTTTCTCTGGAACGACATCATCAGCCATTAGTTCACAGGACTTTACCAATGTGGTTTCTGGAAACCTTTTCACCAATGGTTCTTTGTCAGGACCATATAATTCTTCACATTCTGCAAGAGAAAGCTCTTCACCTCCGTCATCAGTTAACAGAGCTTGATCCATGCCCGAACTTCTAATGCTTGCATCAGTACCGCACTCATGCAAAGAGGAAGAGCCGTTTGAGGCTTCGACTGCTGTTGTTCTCCCATCAGCCTTGAGGTCATTAGCATTATTTGATCTATCACAACTGAGAGTAGAGAAAACCACTTTCATTTTTGTCTCTTCTTGTTGTAGCTTAGATATCTTTAAAGCACTAGAACCAATGAAGTCTTCATCTTCCAAATCATACTCAAAATCACCATATATATCAAGCTCTGGATGAGAATCCATTTCAAATACATTATCAGGTTCATCTCCTCCAATCTTTTTTGAGACATCATTTTCATCATTAATGTCTTCCATTTGATGACTTGGACTATTTGGTGGGGAATCATCAGACAAAAAGCCAGCATTTTTCAATGCCTCCTCAATCATGGGATCATCAGAAAGATCAGTGGTTGCTTGTTCTGATCTGTCAGTGGGTACTGGTGAAGATGGGGAAGGATCTGATTCCGTGTCTCTACTAGACTTGATGTTGTCTGATCGATGTAATAGCTCCTGGGACATTAGATTCACATATACTAGCTTGCTGTTCGATCTATCAGCGACTTCTTTCTCAATATTAACTGCATCTGCAACTGCCAACTCTGTATCTGCAGTTCTGCAAATGACTGGCAGATTTGCTTTGCGCAAAAAGTGCTCAGTGAGGCGGTAAAGTTGTGCCTGTACAATGGATGTTGCTAAATAAGCTATAACTTAACTAAATTATTCATTTCATATCTTAGTAACATTAGTTTCTTGAGGAAAATCCGTAGCAACCACTTGGCATTTAAAATTACATATTGACTGGGTGAGGAGCTAAACCTCAACTTTGTCAAGGAGAAAAGGAACATGCTACAAAGGCATTTATACTGAAGATGGATTGGATTTAGATAAGAAAAAAGGAATCCAATGAATTAAATTCCTCAAATATACATATGTATATATTTTGATTTTTGTTATGTTGAAAATTCAGTTCTTTAAATGATTCTATTGAACTCCATAGAACTGGTGGTGCAAATGGTCTAGGTAACAATCTGGTAGAGTTGATAAGTCGGGATGCCAAGGAAGAACAATAATGTGGTATTCATAACATTCTAATTGTCCCAAGGAATCAGAAACCAAAATTTTCAAATTTGCAATGCATGGTTCTTCAGTGAGTTTGTCTCAATCTATTCCAAACTTAGTGAATTTATATCCAACAAATGGAAAATTCAGGACTCAGTTCTGTTTCTGCACCTGAATTTTTCTCATCCAAAAAGGATATAAAAATTTGAAAGGTGAAATTTCAACTTAGATCAGCCAAATTGCCAGTCTTGCTAAGAAATAGAGAAAAGGGGCACCACTTACCTGCCTAACTGACATTGGGACTTTATTATGGCGACTGGTTGCCAATACCGGTCTCATTTCGATTGGCAGTTGAGCCTGTCAAATGAATGAAATATAAGAACTAATAACAGCGGCAGAAATCAAATGGCATGCATAAAAAATCGTACAAGAAAAACAAAATCATAACATACCAATAGAGGATAACTTCCTTTGAGCACCGCATTATCTTCCTGTTTTTCCTGTGTTGCTTTACTGCCCGAGGCTGAAGCTTTTCTTGCAAGAACCTCTAGGGCCCATTTCCTCTTATCCTTCTTTATATCATCAGATTTACCCACCATTTCCTTCTGGGAATTTACTTTGGAACCACTTAAAGAAGTAGCAGATTTCACTTCTGGGCATTTGTTTGGAAGTACTTTACTAGAAGCAGCTTCACCCTTTACCCTTGTAACAGTAGTACTCTCATTCCCTTTATTGTCAGAGGAACGAATACCAACCTGTGATGAAACCTGATTCGTTTGCAGAGTTTGCGCAGAGTGATTTGCCAAAGATGAGGGATGCCCTTTATTCTCTACAAGACCTGTAGCTTTGAGATCAGTGAAAGGCTTGATATCATCTTTGCGAGGGAAAACAGAATTATCTGCCAAATACAACCTTGAAAGAATGGAATTTGTTGCTTTCCCTTCAGTTCCCTGTTTGATCTCTGTGCTGTCAGAACTATTTCTTAAGAGGCTGAGAACTGACTTCAAAGTCTCAATTTTTTCAGGCCTACCAGGTTTCAAGCAGCGGTGCTTCCAAAATTCAATTTCACAGTCCCGAGTCCAAGCCCGTTTTCTTCTTCCACCAATCCCATATATCTTTTTCGTTAAATTCTCACGTATTTTTCCCTTTTGCAACAATAACTTCTTATCCTTCACAACTAGAGCCGGTGGTTTTTTAGCTGGTTCAGTTACAGATCCAGCCACAGCCGCCCTGAAGGCATCAAGAAGTTTTGGATCAAAAAGGTTTCCCCCAAACTCTTTGGAGGATCTGTTACGGACAGCTTCTCTAATTTCTTTTCTTAGATTCTGTACTAACATGGATGCCTCCTTGTCCTCAGCAGCTCTTCTCATGATCTTTTTCACTCTCAAACCAGCCGCATTTTCTCCTTCTTTTGAGGACCCATCAGTGTGATTATTGCGTGCTTGGCCCTTGAAAGGTCTACCATATGTCCCTCGAACTATACTCATTACATCAGAAGCATCATTTTCCTTTTCTGAGATACATTTCTGAGACTCATCTGAAACTGATTCACTAGCTTGGTCTTTTGAATCAATCACTTGACTGCTTCTATCAGCTCTGGCTTTTTTTGTCGAAGCTTTCAAAACTTCAGTTTTCGTTTCTACATCCCCAGCAACTGTATGAACATCATCACTAATAGACAAGGAAAAAAAAAGAAAAATATAAGTAATTAAGGCCAATAACGACAATAATAATTAAGTAATGGTGGGAATTTTCTTATGCAAAAGAGAAATAAGTAAACTAAATGAGCCAATTTTTTTTTTTTTTTTTTGATAAATAAGCAAACTAAATGGGGCAATTGACACTCTACATGTATAAAGGCAACAAATTGAAGGAATTTCAAGCCTTCCAACAAATCAAGATAAATGAATGAGAAGGTCAATATTGTTTGGTAGGCCATAAACACACGATAACACAGTTCATCTTTGTTGATATCATACAATTTTGACATTGATGACCCACAGAAGCTTGTTCTTTTTTTTGATTCAATTATTTGGATTCCCAACAGGTGAAATTACTACTAAACCTTCTACAGTCTAAACCAGGGTAGTTCACTGTCATGACAACTAGTTTCCAGAATTAATAGTTGTGCTGCATCGTGCATGCCATTTATGATCAAATCTTGTCATAGTTGTGGCATGGTTCCTACAAATACAATTACTGAAACATCTCATGCAGCAACAGTCCAGATTTTTTAGCTTCCCAAATAATACTCAGTTGGGTTGAAACACCATAGGAAATCACAGAAACACCAAAGAAGCTTAATTCCTATAGTCATAGATGACTGCAACACCATTTTTCCCACAACTGCAGCAGTTTTTTGGACAGTATTCCGAAACATCTGGGTGCTAGCACAATCATTAAGGCATATGTTATGCAACACAAGAACAGAAACTAAGTAAGCCGGACATAGGGCAGCGATGATAAAATTAAAGTGTACAGCATAGTTTTTAACCTTCATTTCTGAAATCTATATGATAGTGAAATGGAAGACACAATTGAACAAAGACTGACCTGCAATCTCTACGCTTTCTCTTTACCCTGGTAATTTCAAGAACATTACTATCCTTCAAATCAGGCTCCATCTTGCTGGCTGAAACGATATGCACCAAGAAGTATTAAGTAAACTAGTATAATACTGGAGTGAACATCTACCAAAATCACTACATATCTAGCTGATTGAAAATACAATTCAGCTTGCTTGTTTTGAGTTTTCAGAAAATACTTTTCAGAAAATTCTACATTCTTATTTTTTGTATTTTTTTATTTTTACTGGATTTTTTTAATATTTTAAACAATTTTTTTACTTTTTAGACACACCTAACATAGATATACCTAAAAAGTAAAAAAATTGTAAAAAAAATCTTTTAAAAATTCACTAAATACCAAAAATACAAAAAAAAAATACAAGAATTCAGTACATTTTTTGTATTTTTATGTATTTATTAATTTTTTAAAATATTTTTTTACAAATTTTTAACTTTTTAGATACATCTAACTAAGATGCATCTAAAAAAGTAAAAAAAAATGTTTAAAATTTAAAAAATATTCACTAAAAACAAAAGAATACGAAAACCAAAAAACTCAGTTTTTAAAAAACTTAATCCAAAAAACTCAAACCAAACACACTGATTGCTTCTACTGTTTCATTTCCCAAGAATGATGAAGAAAAAATGATGAATTGTCTTGCACCACTCAAGTCCATACCTGGCAATAAGTATTCTTCATAACTACTTTTCTGCTGTATGTCCCAAGCTACATCATTTTTCATGTCATCAACTAGAAGAAGATAAAAAATAAATAAATAAATATAAAAAAAAAAGAAGAAGTTATTTTTATACAATAATTCTATTTTATTTTTGATAAATTATTTTTATACAATTATTAAATGAAGCAAAAGGTGTTTGTGTGTATGTTTGTGAATGAAAAAAAGACATGAGCTCCTATGTGTAATACTATGGCCTCGTTTGTTTCAAGGGATAGGGGGGTAAGTAATGACATGGGCCCACATGTTTTTTTTTAGCACCATGGGATTGTTTGGTTAAAGTGGGATGACCGATGGATAAGATGGGAGGATTATTTTTATCATTAGATGGTGACGGGAAGATAATCCAGAGGAAGAGATTAATAATCCCAAGGGGTTGGGATTGGAAAATCCCCAATATAGGGGATCAGCAATCCGGTCTGCATTGCTAGTCCGGACCAAAAAAAACATGAGGTTACAAATCCCTTGGGGGACAAATTCTGAGCCATGGACCCACAAATCCCTCCAAACAAACATGAGCTTTCTGTAAATATACCAGACAAAGAACAACCCACAGATAAACCATGATGAAGATCTAGATTAGATTCACATGGTTCATTAGCCAAGTAAGGTTCATTTAAAAACTTCCTTGAAGAAATAACCAAGCTGTCAAAGCTACTTGGTTCTTTCATCACTCACTTTGCCCCGACGAAATACAGTGTAAACTGAAGGGTGTATCTTTTGATAAACATGGTTCTAGCTCCTGTGCCTCCAAAGCTGGTTGGGTGCTAGTCTTCTCAGTTGATAGTGTTTCCAACTTGGTACCATTGGCACTAGCACTAGAAATTAACATCTCAATTTTCAGGTCCTTGTCAACTTCTGAGGTTGATGACAGTTTTTCACTTGGTTCCTCAGTCACTTGATTTCCTCCAACCAGTGAGACAACAACAGCCGTCTCACCAGCATCAGCAACAGATACAGAAACCTTTCCACAAAACGCAGCATCAACCAAACATTCATTACTACCATTTTCTAGACGAAAATTGTTGCCTTGAATAACATCTGATTTTTGTGGATTTTCATTGGCCAAACACCTACATCATTGACAAAGCAAAAAGAAACCTAAGATAAAAGCTCATGTCAACCAAAACTGCAACACAGATATGTTATAAGCCAAAAGCACATATACAATGACAAAACAGTCACATCATTTGGGTGCCAACGTGGAGAGTCAATTGTCCTGTCAGATGATAGTAAGCCATTACAATCTGATTCTAATGTTGGTCAGAAAAATCCTAACTACGAGATTCCCAAATCCCTGGTAGTACAGAAAAGTTTCCAGAAACAGGAAGCACAAGCTTGCAAACCAAATATTATACTTGAACTGACCACAGATTAAAAAGTACTGTGCATACAAGATGCATGCCAACAAACAGAGTTTAAGCACAGCAGCTTAGTGCCAATTTTGTAGAATTGTGTCCAGCAAATGAACCTATAGCATAAATTTGACCAAAAAATAAAATGTTCCATCATATTACCTCGGGCATAACCAAGAATTCTCGCATGTCCCTTCAGGATCAAACCCTACGCAAAAAGCATGATACCTGATTCAATGCAAATCAAGACGCAATTAGTGCTAACCAGCATTGGAATCTTTGAATGAAATGTATCAGAAGACAAAGCAGATAACAGAAAATAAAAACATAACAAACAATTAACATAGTAAGCCATAGAAAACACACACAAACATATATACATATATTATTCAGTAAGTGGTGACTTGACATCCCCAATAAACTCCTCAGAAGTGACAGATCCCCTTCTGGCATAAAGCTGATTCCAAATTGCCATATTTTGAAGTCATTTGGACTGCCATGCAACAATGTAGAATATATGACGCTTCTTATAAAGTTGCTCTAATGGAAAAATAATTTAATGTTGCAACTAATCAGTTTTCCAAATTCTACCTATCCCCATGAAAATGGTACCAAAGAAAGCCCTCTTGATGATGTTAAGAAAGCTTTATTTTGTCTCCTAATTCCTTTTGCAAATATAGTGTGATGGTTAACATCTATATTTAGCAGGCCACTCTTTCAACTAGAAAAGTTTAAAAATTAAAAAAAATTTACACTTGATAATGGGGAACTTGAAGGCATTGGATGAAGATAAATTGAAGATTAGGGATTTATTCTAGTATTATTTTGTGATTTAACGAGTTTTATTTATTAAATTAGAATTTATTGGGGTTTGCAAGGATGCCTATAAATAGGCCTTTATGCAATGAACTTATCAGACTTGGCTTGGATTTTGAAGAATTTGAATACTGATTGGGATTATCCCTGTTTTTCTCCTTCCTCCTAGTTCTTTCCCTTCTTCCTCTTCTATACAGTTATTTGGTGCTGCATCACTTACATTGGAAAACATAAGGATTGGATGAATCAAATGAAAGTAAATTCTAAAAAGAGACCGATTGGAAGAGATGCATACAAAAAATTCCACTTATTGCACTGACCCACAAAGCCCAAACATAGTCTACCTTGTTTGGCAACATCACTTTTTGGCCTAAAAGCCAAAAAGTCACTAAAAAAATCAAAAAGCCAACAACCTATACTAAAAAGTCAAAGATTTCATTTTCTCTCTACTTTTTGCACATCTTTTCGTAAAAAAACAAAAAAGCCATCCCAATCATACTAGCTTTTTTTACCTAATATTTTAGCCAAAAAGTCAAAAAGTTACTAAAATAACCTGTTCCCAAACCAGGCCGATAGCAGTAAATAAAACATTTGAAAGCACAATCCCATCAAATTACCATGGATAATAATTTGTCCATCGCAAATGGGTATGGATTATAAAAGGCAGAACATTGCCTTCACTGAGATTGTTAATTGTGGGCTAGCAGACAGCAGGTTTAAGGCAGTTTAAACAAAGCACACACTGTTATGAAAATGGAAGCATCATTTGTTAAACCTTACATGCATGGAGTTCAGATCTCTATGAACTACGGCGCCAAAATTTTGAAATGCAACGTCAGTTCTTTTAGGGCAAGTAATAGTTGCAAAAATCCCATATTATTTAATCATTAAAATTCTTAATTCTAAAAAAAGGCTCTCTAAGACTCCCTTAAACAAGGCCCAACTGAGAATTATACAAGAGACCAACCATGAAGCACCAAAACCCTTCACTGGCAAATGCATCTCTCAGCCCCATACAGAATCAGATTTCCACTATCTGAATTAGTGAATTCCATACCATGGCCAACCATTGCATTTGAATGACACACGGGTCACTAGAGTTTACTAGCTAATTACCATACCGTATTGATATAGAATCATCATCAATGTCTCTATATCTGTAAATGAAACAAAGAGAAAAAAACTGAAGCCATTTTAACAGAATACGCATACCATATATCACATGAGTCACAAGCAATTGATGTATCAAGATTTGAATCTTCCTCAATTATCAGTGATCCACTTCGGATTTTGCAGCCATCTCCATCCAAACAGATAACTGCCTACAACATGGTAAAGTGTATAAGAACTGCATGCTAACAAAATACAGAATTGTGAATGTAGACACGTGAAAACAGATAATAAAGCATGAGAAAATAAGAAGCTAATAATGACCACTACAATGTGCACAAGAGACATCTTGCATTCAGTATCTCAGTTGTAGAATGAAAAATAGAGGACAGACAAATGGCGCGCACACATTTTTCTTAATCACATTTGGGACTGTCTGTGTCCATGCTTCTTAGGGTGGACTCCTAATTTAAAAATTTTAATGCCAATATCAACGTGAATAGCCTTCGTCCTAAGCTTGAGACCATTAACACACACACAAGGACTGTTGTCATGGTAGGAGATATTGTTAGTGGTTTAAAAATAGTAATGACACCATAAACACACATTTATGACTTGTCTCACCATCTTTAGAAGTGACACAATTTGTTCAGTGTGTTCTTTACAAAGCTTAGCTCCATAATGATACAGTTGGTTCTGCAATTAGCCTTTAAAATATTAAAGAGTTTTCTTAGTAGAATACTTACATTTTCATCAATGTAGTATGACGGGAAAGAAAGACTGTTATTTTTCTCTTCAATGCACCAATCATCTTCTCTGCATAGTTGACGTAAAAGAAAAGGGCACAATAAGTATGCAACCTAAATCCAAGCATAATGGAAACTGCAGTGAATTAATTGCTATAATAGTTGACACTATAAATGGCCTACAATCTTAAGAATATATTCAGTGCAATTCGTGTGAAAGATGAACCATGGGTCTATAACATCTTTCAAAATCAAATTTTTCTTTAAGCTTCCCTCATGTTCATCCTAAACCTTGTGCAAAAGCAACATAGCGAGCACATTATGCAAGGGTGAACCTGTTGAATACTTGAATTAGTATTTATTTCTTGTAGAAAACATGAACTTAGGCCTCGTTTGGGAACAAACTAATTTAGTAACTTTTTGGCTATTTGGCTAAAATATGAGTTAAAAAAACTAGTATATTTGGGATGACTTTTTGGCTTTTTATGAAAAGATGGGCAAAAAGTAGAGAGAAAAGAGAATCTTTGACTTTTTGGTATGGGTTGTTGGCTTTTTGGCTAATTTAGTAACTTTTTGACTTTTGGCTAAAATGGAGGGTTCCCAAACGAGGTCTTAGTACAAGAATAAATAAGCAAGAAGGGAGCAACAAATTCTGATGGGAAATTAGGGAAAAAGAGAAACGCAAAGCCAATTAGGATTTGACAAAGAAACCAAACAAGTAAAGGAACTAAATAGGCATTGAATCCCCATCACACTAATTGGGATATCTGAGCTCCATTTAGCTTAGGTGTCCTACATATGCCTTTGTCTATCTAAGAGGGCCATTGAAGCGGCTCTCTAGTTAGACAAAAGGCCAATATCAAGAAGAAGAATATATATGTTGTCCTCCAATGCCATTTTTCTTCTACTAGATGATATTAGAACAGTAAAAATAAACACGATGATCTTGTCTTTCCTATCTGTTTAGTTTCTTGAGACCAAAATGATTGGTCTCCAATACTGCACATTGAGATTCCCTATAGCAATGAGGGCAATCAGAGTAGTCCTCATTGCTACTGAAGATCCTACCCAAAAACTAGATATTTATCAAGTATCAGCCAGCAGACGAAGCCAAAATTTGAAAGGGTGGAGTCAGCCAAACACAAGTGATTGAATCACTTTGGCAGCAGTTTAACAAACTAACTTAAGCCTCAAATATAGGAGGGTTCCTAAGAAGCATAGACACAAACACAAATTGCACAAAATGAAGGACATGACACGAAAGGGACACATGTGAAGCATATAATTTCATATATTTATTATATGTCATATTTTTAATCCCTTATATTTATTCTCATCAAATCAAATTAATCAACCTTAAGTATGCTATTCCAGTAAAAATAAATAAATAAATTAAAAAAATTAAAAGATAATTAAAAAAAAATAGGACACAATGTGTATACAACATATCACCAGCATGTCCAAATCCCTCCAGTGTGTCTAACAAGTGTTCGGAGCTTGTCTGTGTCCGACACATGTCAAACACTGGCACTTGAACTCCGAAGAGATGTCCATGCTTCATAGATTTTTATTATGATAGTAGCAATGAACCATTCGCCTGCCGGAGGGACGAGTGAATTTTCAATTTCTGTAGAATTACACCAAGAATCAACCTTAAGTCCTTATTTTTTTGCTTTAGTTATGGATGAGTTGATGCGCGATATTCAGGATGATGTGCCATAGCGTATGCTTTTTGTAGATGATATCGTGTTAGTGGATGAGACTAGAGAAGAAGATAACATTAAGTTAGAGATTTGGAGAAAAACATTTGAATCTAAAGGATTTAGGATAAGCAGAACTAAGACAGAGTATATGGAGTGCAATTTTAATAATAGCCATAATGGGAGCAGAGAAGAAGTGAAGATTGAAAATCTAAGAGTAAACATTTTCGTTATTTAGGATCAATTATCACAACGACTGGAGAGATTGGAGCGGATGTGGTCCACAGAATTAAGATGGAATGGTTTCAGTAAAGGAGTGCACCTGAAGTACTGTACAATAAACGAGTATCCATTAGACTAAAAGAGAAGTTCTATAGAACAGCTATTAGACCAGTAATGTTGTATGGGACGGAATGTTGGACAATTAAGAAACAACATGTAGAGAAGATGAGTGTTACTGAGATGGGGATGCTAATGTAAATGTGTGACAAGATTAGAAAAGACAGAATTAGGAATGAGTATATTCAAGAATGGGTAAGAATAATACTGATAGAAGATAAGTTGAGAAAGAATAGATTAAAATAATTTGATCATATACAACGGAGACCAACAGAGGCAGTAGTGAAGAGATGTGATACAGTGACAGTAGATGGTAGTGTTAGGGGAAGGGGTAGACCTAGAGTGACGTAAACTAGTGTAGTAAATAGAGATATGAATCTCCTTAATTTGACTAACGAAATGGCCTTGGATAGATTTGAGTGGAGAAGAAAGATTCATGCAGCCGACCCCATTTGAGGGATTTAAGGTTTGGTTTGGTTTTGGTTTGGTAGTAGCAATAAACCATCAAAATCTTCAAATATCTGAGGATTCCTTTTTCCTAAATAAATCAAGTGGCTAGCTAAAATAGAGAAGACACTTTTTAGAGCATCTCCAAGGGTATAGTTAAACAAGACTTGTTAGGCATTTTAGCCAACGTAAGTCTAATTTTGAGCTCCAATGGGCTACCTATTGAACTAGTTACTTTACCATCCTATTTTTTTGGTGGCTACAATTGAAGAGCCCCAGAGGCTCTCCAAACAATTATGTATGTATATATTTTAAATTTTTGTATATTTATGTCTTGGATTTGAGATTTTATATATTTTAAAAATATATATATATATATGTGTGTGTGTGTGTGTGTGTGTGCAGCAATTTTATATGTTCTTTCAATTCTGTTTGATGAATTACGGAATAACTTATTTTGTATTTTGTATTTTTTTTCTCCTCATTCTACAGGTTTTGTATGTTTGTATGGACAAATTTATTATTATTGCAAATTTATATTAGTAAAATATCAACAATTAGTATTTTTTTATTTTAAAAATTAATTAAGTTAGTTTAAATGATTAGCTAAAATAAAGATCGTGGTTGGAGAACACAATAGCTAAAGTAATTAGGTAAAATAAAGAGTATACTTTTTTTGTACTTTAGCTAGTAAAAAGTAGAGTGTGTGGTTGGAGGTGCTCTTAGTGTACTTTTGCTAGCTAAAATAGCTAGCAGTGTCAGAGATGTTTGCAGATGTGATGAACTTGCTGTTTCTGGAGGAGAAATTTGTTCACCATCAGCAAATTGCAATTATTGTTGCTATATCCCGACAGTATACTAAGTTTCCATAACTTCCAAAACCTCTGTTCATCTAAGAAGTACAGGAAACATGGGGTAAACCCCAAAGCTCTATGATATGATAATAGTAAAATACAAAGCTAATGAGAAGGCAAGATTATCCGGGGTTTTAAATTAGTCAGAAGTGACAGCAACACAGAAATTACAAAAAAAAAAAAAAAAAGGGAATACCTAGAGAATGAGTCCTCATCAAGGTTGTTGCTTCCAATGGTATCGTACACCTTCATAATCAAATAAAATTTGTAAATTGGGGTTGCATCAATGCAGCATTCTTAAACTACAGTGGCAAGAGAACTTCTGATGATCAACTGTACAAGTGGATGATGATGACAACATGGAAGTAGAAGGAATATATCAACCAAAGTATCAATTGTCAAACAAAGAAGCATTGCTCCAACAATTTACTACTCACAGGTACACATGTGATTAACTGAAATTCATTCTGGCAAAGTGGGCAAAGGTTTGTGATGGTAGCCCAGTTGTCAATGCATGTGAAACAAAACCTGAATTTAAATAATGAACCCGGGTAAGCAAATAAAATTTACGATTTTCACCCAAAAATAACAATAACAACAACAACAACAAATTGAGAAAGAATAACATTGACAATACTATTAGCCCAATCCAAATCCATCCAAGTACAAATAATTGGAACTTCACCTCATGTAATACACTTAATTTTCTGACAAGTGGTGAAGGTCAGGCTGAAAATTACCCAATCATATCTTTGGAAATTTAGAAAGGAAATATGATTTGCAAACATAAATTTTATACATAAAAGCTTACTGGCATGATATGATAGTGACAGTTTTGAAATAAAGTCACTTTGATGGGTCTTTTGGTTTTAAATGAATGGATACAAATCTATATACATTTTTTTTATAATTTTTTTATTTTTATATCATTACTCTTTAGAAAATGAAATACCTAAAAATACCCAAGGGAGATCATAGAAAGTTAAATAATTGATCATCCAAACTGCTAACCTTTGCCCTAGTTGGTACAACAGGGGCAGAGTGCCTATGTACCTCTTTGTGTGTATGTGTGTGGGAGTGATTGGGTGAAGGGCAAGAAAAGAAAACACAGGTGAAAAGTAAAAATACATGAAGCATAGACATCAGCAGGTAGGTCTTCATGAACAGAGGGTATTTAATAAGAAATTAGTGATCACTTTTGTTGGACAGTAAACCAATGATGGAAAATGGATGATTAGAACAATTCCCACTTCACATTCTAAGGGCCATAATTTTAACATCCCTTTAAAAAGAAGACATACCCATCTATATATACACTCATAAAGCTTCAACATTTGTAAATGTAAACCTTGTTTCTCAGTCTCACACATTAAGACCATACTTTCTTCAAGAATAAAGAAGTATACCAGTGTTGGCAGCAATCCAGCACCCCCCTATCAATGACAATATCCATACATATACCGCATCTCTCACCCTCATAAGTAGAATAATCCTGCAAGCAGAACAAGCACACAAATATATACAACAAATGCTAATTAAAACAACAAACCCAAATTTGTACTTACCATAATCTACCATAGCTCAATGGGAAAATTCAAAAATTTTACCCAATATTATGACAACAAGATTCTAGACAAAACATAATTTTTTAAACTCATTAATCCGGTCCCAACCTATGTAACTCTTACAAATATAATTAAACAGAGAATATTAACAATTTTCCTACTAAAAGACCAATTTTTAACACAAATAACACTTATTATTGAATTTGAACTTTGAAGTATAAAATTGAGTAATACAGCAAACAAATACTCCAAAACTCACATCATTGTTCTGATCAATGTTAAAAGTATCATCTTCTGATACACCTTCTGTAACAAATTCCAAATCCATTAAATCTTTATCTGCAAAGCGAACAATAAGATTTTTAAGACACTAATCAATGAAATGTAATAAAACCGATATCGAATTACTAAATTAAACATACAAAATTTTATCGAACCGAATTGTAATCTGCTCGATTGTGTATATCGAATCTCACTGCTGTGAAATTCCTAGGGTTTCGAAAAAAATGGGGATTTGCAGATTAAAGGCGTGTTTGGATGTGATTATTAGCTTGAAATCAATAGCATGTGGAGCTTTAGAGATGGTTGAATAGAAAAGAGAGATTTACCAGTAAGAAGATTGCGAGGTAGCGTTTGGTTGTGGCATTGGCCAACCGTAAAGAGATTAAGGCTCCGTTTGGCAAGAGTTAAACGGGGCTTATTTTTAGCTATTTTAACCACAAAAGATAAAATAGGTTATTTTAGTCACAAAAAATATAATATTACATCTAACTCATAATCATTACATTCTCCTCTCACAAAAAAAGTCAAAAAGTCAAAAAGTCCTTCCCAAACCAAACTTTTTAACCCAGGCTAAAATAGCCATAAAAGTTAAAAAGTCAAAAAGCCAACATACTTCCCAAACAGAGGCTAAGATATATGAAAAGATTGCCAAACGATCCGTTAATAGAAAACTAATAAGGCCTCGTTTGGAACCCTCCATTTTAGCCAAAAAATCAAAAAATTACTAAGGGGTTGTTTGGAGTGTCCTAAATAAGTGTACTTTTTGTCTTTTTGAACTAAAAAAATGAGGAAAAAAATATGGATATTTGGGTTAACTTTTTGACTTTTTATGGAAAAATGTGTATTAAAAAATTGTAAAAATTGGTTTGTAGAGAAAAATTAAGATTGAGAGTTGTGCAGCCGTAATTGTTGACTTTCGGTGAATAGTGTTAACTTTTTAACTTTTTGAGTAACTTTTTACCTTTTTTGGCTTTTTCTTATCTTCCCAAACTTGGCCTAAATTAGCCAAAAACGAACAACCCATACCAAAAAGTTAAAGATTCTCTTTTCTCTCTACTTTTACACATCTTTTCATAAAAAACTAAAAAGTTATCCCAAACATACTAGTTTTTTTAAGCTCATATTTTAGCCAAATAGCTAAAAAATTACTAAATTAACCTGTTTCCAAACGAGGCCTAAGAATAATTAAAATACGGATTGACCCTTAGGCCTCGTTTCGGAACAGCCTATTTTAGTAACTTTTTGGCTTTTTACGAAAAGATGTGCAGAAAAGTAAAGAGGTGATGTGACTAGTTTTAGTTGGCTTTTTGACTTTTTGGCTAAAATAGTCAGTCCCCAAACGAGGCCTTAGTTTAAAAAATTATAAATATTTTATTGTGATACTTTTTTTATGAATAGATTATAAATATACTCTTTAAGATTTGTTTAAAGTACAAATTGTCTTTTATAATTTCAAAAATTACAAATACTCCATTGTTAGAATATTTTATTTAGCAGAATTAACTAAAAAAATAAAATTTACAATTGCTCTCTAATACAATAATAAAATTACATAAATTATTAATTGAAACATGTTTCTAATATTATTAAAAATTATTAATTGACTTCGAGATTTATTAATAAAAGGGGCAATATCACAATTCGGGAGTAATTCGTATTTTAATCAAATCTCAAAGGGTGTATTGTCATTTACCCTTTTTTTATTTAACAATATTAATTAACAAATAAAATTTTTAACTGTTCTTTTAATTATTGGCATCATAAATAAATTATTTTTATTATTATTATTTGCAGACCATGTGACACTCTCCTATTTATTTGAAAGTTAAGAGAAGTTATAAAATATTAAAGACATGAAAAAAATGATGGAGAAAATGGAGGACATAGAGTATAGATTGAAGGAAGTGGAAAATCATGGAGTGTAAAATGTAAGAGATAGGAGATATAGGGTAGTTAATAGGTAATTTTTTTCTTACATGTCTTTTGCCTATAAATAGTCGTTCATGACTACATTGTAAGATCATCCAACTCAAATAAAAAAAACAATTATATTTTTCTTGACATTTTTCTTATCTTAGGAGTAGTTTAATATAGATTTATTTCTAGTACTTTATTTCCAAAGCATAGGAGTAGAGGTAATTTAATGGTTGCTTTGATTGTTCACTCAATCACCCTAATTGTTCACTCAATCGACTTTCTCTGTCTCCCTCTCTTCTTCTTTTAATTTTTCGTTTATTTACACTTAGTAATTTTGAAACCCTATTCGTTAAGGCAAAAGAATTGTCAATGCAATCGTTTAATAATTTGCTTGAAGGCCTATTCATGATTTTTTCTTTTGTATGAAAAATAAGTCAAAAATAAAGAACATATACAATAATAAAATTACCTAAATTACTAATTGAAATATATTTATGATATTATTAAAAATTATTAATTGATTTAATGATTTATTATGAAATTAAAAATTTCAAAAAGTAAAATATAATTTTTAAAACTAAAGGATCAATTTGTATTTTAAACTAATAGATATTTATAATTTACTTTTAAAAATGCACATAATGGTACTGCCTGCCTCAATAGGATTTTTTCCACAATAAATCATTTTCTGCCTGGACAGGATTTTATTTTTATTTTTATTTTTTTGAAAAATGTAATTAAAAATGCTGCTTAATGGTGAAAACAGTGTTTATACTATCAAAATGCTAAGTTTTGAGAGGTTGAATTCTTCTCGGGAAATGCCAGTCCCGTTTGGGAATAACTTAGTTTAGTTGATTTTTTTAATTTTTTTAGTTTAACTAAAAATATTGTATATCAAATGATAATTGATTTTTTTTTTTAAGTTGATTTGATAATTACAAGAAAAAAAAAAGTTGAAAATGATTATAATGTATTTGAGAGATTATGTAATTGAATGAGAGATGATGTATCTAATAGTATTGATAATATGTAATTGAATAGGAGATTAATAGATGAATAATTCTTACATAGAAAAATGATGTATCTGATACTATTGGTAACAAGATTATTATGTAACGATTCTAAAAATAAAATACCATCCAATATAATTGTAAAAGTTATGTTCTTTTTTTCAAGATAATAATATACAACAATGATTTATCTCTCCTTTTCCCCCCACCCCCTTTGACCCCCTCTCTCTCTCATTGGTTACATTTTCTTTTTTTTCCTGCTCCTCCAATCACCACCCGCCACATGACAAAGGGGGGTGAGGGGGTGACCCCCAAAAAGGGGTCCCAAGCATTATTCAATAATATAATAGTTTCACAGTTTGTTTTACTTAAAGTTTGAAAATTTTAAATGTAGGCCTCGTTTCGGAACATGTTTTTTTAGTAACTTTTTGGTTAAAATGTAAAGTAAAAAAATTAGTATATTTGCGATGACTTTTTGCCTTTTTACAAAAAGATGTGCAAAAAGTAGAGAGAAAATGAAATTTTTGACTTTTTGATATGGATTGTTGGTTTTTTGATTTTTTTGTGACTTTTTGACTTTTTGGTTAAAACGTCACTTGGCAAACGAGTTTATTTTTGTAATAGAATTGTTTAACGTACATATAAGGTGACTCATTTATAAAATTTCTGGAGTTGCAACTAGATTTGCTAAATGATTATGATGACGGATTGTCAATCATTGGCTTGCGAAGTCCAATAACTGTTCTATTTTGATCAGATAACATTATAGTTAAGGTGGTTAATATGTACGAATTTATAGGTTAATGGAATAAAATGATATTCACTAATAATGAAAAAGTCTCCACGTAATTAATTACCCTATTAAAAATTAAAAACTAAGGAAGGAGTAAAATATACTTAAAACATATAATGTATTTTTTAAAAAACAAAGAGAAATGTAATTAACCCAAATACTATTTACAACACCGTTACATCTACCGAATTTGTTTAGTCTAAATTCTTCTGAATAAGTCTCTTTTCGAGAAGAATCAATTAATTCTTCCCAGAAAAAGACTCATTTGGACGAATTCGGGTAAACAAGATTCTTCTCGAAAAAAGACTCATTTTGACGAATCCAGATTAAATAAATTCAGTGAATAAATTATTAACCTACTATTTATGAAGAAAGTGGAAAATAGTTGGTAGGGAAAAAATAACATTTTCAGGCGTATTTGTACGGAGAGATTCTTGAAAACATGTTGACAGCATTCTTTTAGAGCAATGCTGTTAATCCTTACGTTTTTTCTTAGAACCCCCACCTCAGGAAGCCTCTATTTATACACCATCTTTTATCTCAAGGCACACCATTAATTAGTTTAATTTTTTATTATAATATTAACCTAATGTAAAAATGACCACAAAGAACAAAGGGCTTTGGACTATGATACACACCTTACGTAAAGTTACCATAAAGGACAATAATGAATACAATACACGCCTTTCTTCTGAAACGTTACTTACGTATCTTCTCTCTCAAAAACTCAAAAATCCTTAAACAAAAATCAAAAACCCTTAAACAAACAATAAAAATTATACGTATTATTGAAGATTTTGATTGGACTAAATGATGGATGTATCTAGCAATATTGGTTTGGAACAATGGAGCAAGGAAAATGTTAGTTTTTCATTTTTTTTCGTTTTCATGTACTTACTGAGTGGTAAACCGTTTGTATTCGTTCGGATACCCAGATTCGAACAATATACTCATGTTCGACTATTTACAATCGAACATATTGAAGTTGTTCAACAGAAACACTCTGGACAAAAGGTTAATGTTCGACAAACCAGTGTCGAACGGTTTGCAAAATCAGACTTCCATATACAATGCCACTGGTTCGCAAAATCAAACATTCATATACAATGCTCATGGCAATGGAAAAATGTATATAAAACCCTCAAATCTAAACAAAATGAGAATTCTACCTATTGTATCTTCAATGTAGAGTTGTTTCCACTGGTGTCTTTGATGAAACAGAGAATGGAGGAGAATGGGTCTTCACCACTGCCGTCTTTGATGAAACAGAGAATGAAGGGGGAGATGGAAGATTTTGGATATGGTGTGTGAGTAAGTAAGGGTGAAGATGGAAGATGTGGGTGGGGTGTGTGAGTAAGGGTAAAGATGGAAGATTGTGGTGTGTATTGAGTAAATTTTGTATTTATCAAATTACTAAAGGTGTGCCTTAAGTGCTGGTGTGCCTTGAGATGAAAAGTGGTGTGTAAATAGAGGCACCCCCCCACCTCATTTTTTTTTTAATTCCAATTTTGTCCCAATCTAAAATTCCACTTTTACCCTTATTCCTAATCTTCTAAACCTAATTTCCAAACTTTAACCTAACCCTAATCCCCTCTGGCAATACCACCATCTCTGACCGCCTCTCACCGCCGCAACCACCACCATTTCCG